CACCTCACTCAACTACACGCAGGTCATCAAAGAGCACGGGTAGGGTTTCTCAGCGTTCTCTTTGCTATGCACCCATGCCGCTTCTCACTCCCATTTTTAGGTTGCTCCTGTTGTTGTTTAGTCTTGCCACTGTTTGTTAGTGGTATCAGCATACATTGGTGGGTGACTGCCTGCAGGGGGAAGCTGTTATGTGACTGCACCCGTCTGCTTATATATCTGTGTCTAAACTTAGACCCATTCTGTGTGTCAGTGATCTAAACTGCTGGGAGTTTAGATCACTTTATTTAAACCACAGCCCTTTGAGTTTATCATTTATATGACAGCCTGTGGCGTTTGTTTATGATATAAAATAAATTAACACATTTACCAATACACACCTTAACTGCTCTTATGCCTTTGAAATGTTTAATATAACAGAACAAACTGGATGAGCTTGTTCTGTGTGATGTGAAGAATTATGTCTTGAATGATATAATGGATGTTAATGTTGGTTAATATCATTCCAGGGCTGAATTCTTTGACAAAGATGGCGTGATGAAGGATATCCGAACAATATTCCAAGTCTACAGTGCACTACAAGACAAAGTGCAGGTGAGCTGGCTTGTAGTGAAATAGTTTTCTGACTAGATTCCTTTTTGTTTTCCCTTTTTGTGTGAGTTTTTCACCTGTTTGTCTGGTTTTCAGGCTGTGTGTGGAGAGGTAGAAGAAAGTGAACGTGTGAAGGAGAAAATTCAAGAGGATGTGAATCAACTCAAACAACAAATTGCTCTCAGGAAACGCAAGACAGCAGAAGAGGAGAGAAGTACGTGCCTGATTCTAAAAAGTGTAATGGTGTAATTAAATGTAATATATGGTTTGAAACATTAACTTTCCTTGGATCAATAACAAAGGTCATAAAACAAAAATATATTACACTCCTGAGTCCATGCCTTTCCCCCAGGCCTTTTTTCAAACATCTTTTTGTTAAGCCAACTTGATTTCCTCAGTTTTTACGGCTAACATTTAGCAAAATAGCTAAATGCTTTACCTTCTTCACCAGTTATAACTTTCTCTCTGTTCCACAGGGCTGCGGGAGGCCCAAAACACAGACTCCCATCCCACTCCAGAGGAGAACACGGAACCCTCTGAAGCTTCCTCTCTCTCCAGGATAACGTTTCCCACCCCCTCTGCTCCGGAGCGGCCCAGTACCTCACCCAACCCTCCATCTTACACTGACCTCTTGTCCCAGGATGACTCTCTGCTCTCCTCCTCTTCCCCACCCACCAGCGCTGCTCTGCTGCCCCGACCTCAAGCTGTGGGCTCCCCGGGACACCCCCCCCCCGGCCCGCTGGGGATGGGCCTCGGGTTGGGCCTGGGGCTCGGTGCCAGCTCTAAACCTGTCGCCACTCCCAGCACCCCGTACCTTGGCAATGGGGACGGGTCAAGCTCTGACTCGTTAGACAGACAAGCTGCGGGGCAGGAAGACGACGAGGAGGATGATGACGAAGCTGAGGATAGTAGCGAATATGAGAACTTAGTGAGTGAAGCTGCTCATCTGCCAATAGCCTCTGGCAGCGTTTTAACACAAGGCAGGCCGGCTGCCCTCGGTCCGGACGGGGACGCTCGCGGCTCACAGACAACATAGAACCATGCCACAGGGTGTGTACAGGACACAATTAAGTGACGCACCTTGATAGGAGGGCATCTCAAACAATCAAAGATAGACAAATATAGACAAAAAGTAGTGCCAGTCCTGAAAGTGAAAGGCATGCACAGGTGGTGTCCCTCTGCGAGTGTTTCTTGTCTTAGTCTTATCTCCATTTTAAGGGGAAACTTTGGTATGCTTTGCAGGCTTAACAGATGTGTCTCACTGGGGGAAAATATGTCTGTCTGAAATAGGGTCGGTTTAGGTACTTCAGTGCGGATGTTTTGGCTCTCTAAATGCTCCATGCTTTCTGTATCTTTTGTTTCACATTTGCGTCACCAATTCTAAGCACCCACTTTTGCATTACCTCTTGCACTATTTGTTTGCCTTCTTTTTAAACTAACGATCGAAGAAAAACAAAAGGAGAACATGTACATTTCCAAAAAAAATGTTTAAGTAGGTAAACAATGGTTAACTTTTTATGTTTGATTTGAAAAAGAGATTTCAATTATGTAACTAGAACTCCTTGAAATGCAAATGTATCACGTTTGGATTTTGAACTTATTGGTTTTTCATTTGTATGTTCCACGGTCTCTAATTAATCATACAAAATTTACTTTGCCACTTTTTAAATGGGTGCTTTAAATATACATAATTATATATATATTTTGTCAGATTAATAATTAATCTAATTTGTTTGACAAAAATGTCAATGTCTTGTTCCTTTTTGGTTTACACTGAAATTGTATGCGCTTTGCTGCACTTAACAAAATGTAAGATTTCTTTTTATTATTGTGCTATACCAATGCTGTCATGTTGTGCCACTTGAGTAGTCCTCTTCCAGCACCCTGAGCCAAACTCGGCTCGGCTTTTGTGTGTTGTACGAGGCTCCCAGGGCAACACGATGTACTGTAGCTTTACTAACCAGATGCTTAAGGTTCCCTCCTGCTGCTGCAACACAGAGAGCTACCACTAAAAAAACTGCATCCGTCTGTTCAGGTAAAACCCTGGCTGCTACTTAGTTAGTCTCAAATACTACTGACCATGAACATATAACCTATTCAAGCTCACTTCTCACTGACTTGTTTTCTATTAAAGTCATAATGGAAGGCTGACACCCCCTGTAGTGTGTGTGAATTGTAACCTTGTGAACAACGAGCGATCACCTTCTTGTCTCGGCATAGTCGACAGCAGACCTCGTGTATTCGGACCTGGTTGGGTCAATGTTACGTGTATGGACCTGGATAATGTGATGAAAACATCATGACCTTGCTTCAACATACAGTGCCTTCCACTCAGGGCAGTTTCTATCTGCACACGGTACACATTCACAGATCTCTCTTGGGGGGTTCAATTATAACAAATGTGTTGCTTGCAATATTCGACTTCCAGCTTTTTTTTGTTGACTTTCCATCATGTGATGTTTTCTCTAGCTGAAACAACACCTCACTGCTTACTAAAGCTGGTTTCCCTTTTTTAATACTTAAACGGACAACTTTCTAAATGTATCTGCAGCTCTTGTTTGCAGCTGTGACTTTGCTTGCTCTATTATTTTTCAACTGGAATTCTAATGTAAAGTCCGTGGCAATCTGATGGATAACTGATATTTGGTATGGTGAGCATGACTGACATGCAGATGACTTTTGTTGTTGTATACATCTATCCCATTGAAGACAACGGATAAACAAGGTTTAGATCGATAGGGTGCTGGGTGAATTCCTCTTGCATGAATTGGTAGATGGACACCGTTTTGATCAGCATGGACAGATATTTGCACTGCACATGGAGAACGTCTTACATAATGATCAGCAGGTTGCACTCAAATGAAGACATTTGGTGGTGGGAGAAGCGCTGCCTTGTGAACAAGCTCCACTTTATTTACATGGCCTGTTTGTTTGTTTTTTGCCTAATTTGCCCTGATGTGTAATGCCAATGCATAACTCGGGAACTGGCACTCAAAATGTTACTTTATAATCACCCAGAGTAACGCAATCACACAATGTTAAATTAAATGACAAAATAAATGTGTTAGGAATATGGTTTCCTTTGAGTAGTGGAATATACTAAGGAAATATATAATGAATGTATAGTAGAGAAGTGGGGAGGGGTAGCATTTAAAAGGCACTTACTGTAAAAGCTTGTCTAACTTGATTGTTGTGGTGGTATAGATAAGCAGTTCTCAATGTTGGTCCTCGATCTTAATCCTTGTCCTTAGTACCTAGATGATTGCTTTTTAAGTCTCTCTTTCTGGCATCCCCAGGTATAATCCTGACTTGATGGCCAGAATATAAAACAGCAAGGCTCTGGTGCTGAGGGCTCCTGGAATGAAGCATAAGGACTAACATTGTTTCTATCCTACCTTTCAAGTTCCAACATAGTACACATATACACTTATGTACTCTTACTGTATGGGCCGTGGTGACCCTTCCCTGAGTGGGCCGTTGCAACATCAACACCTCCCTGAAAGCACAAAGTCCAGTGCACAGCTACGAACTTCTCTCGTTTATCTGGATGTGTGTACTTGGACGAGCAAAGATAATATTGTTCTTAAACTGGGAGATAATAAATAAGACATGCATATGTGATATGATGTGCCTTCGTTTTCTTATCGTTGTAAGTGGAGTACTTTTAATGTGCAAATCATTTAAAAAAAACAACTTGTATGGCTACATTTATTCTCTTATTTTGAATGTTTTTTTGCTGGTTTAAGATATTACATAAGGGTTATTTTATAAAAGAGCCTTACATGGTTAAAAAGAAATCGTAGCTTCTTCCAAAGTCTTGCAAAACCACATCCAAAATATATGTTTGGGATGTGTATTTCTATGCGCAAAATCTAGTGGTGTTTGTTTCAATGACATCACCTGGAAGTGGGACGGGCTTTCCTGTAAACTAGAGTTGCATGCATGCATTTTCGCAGGTGAACAAATGCCAAGTAATAATTATGGTGCACATCAATGTTTGTCCTCGGGTATTGTAGATGTCCGTCAATAACAACAACAATTGAGCGCTTGGAACTGTTGCACAAGCTGTCATGCATTACTGCAGACTGCTTGCTGCAGTATTTTTGTACGATGACATCACCCTGTTATCCCTTTTGAGAGGATACCACGTGGTTGCTTGGCAAAAGATGCAGCAAATTACGATGCACGAATTAAAAATAACATGTTTTTACTATAAGTAACTAGACTCATAGCATAAAAAAGGTAACATTTTGTCGCTGATATTACTATGACATTCGAGCCTGTTTTGCTTTCACTGAGCCTTTTAACAGTTGGAATGAGATACGTAGAATCTGATTGGTCAGTGTCAAGGGATACACAAAACACAACCAATCAGATTGGTTGGCAGATTCAGGTGGTAAATCCTGATCCTGCCCCTGACTGTAACACGGCCCAGAGCTCTGTGCTCTCCCTCGTAGTGTATTTTGTAGCTCTGCTTCGGTTGCTTCCCTTCCCCTGTGCCGCCATTAAAGCCCGTCAGCTTCGTGTTTGGGAGTCGGGAGAAGCATGAAGATGATTTAAAGCGTCAAAACAACCGAGCGAGGGGACGGGACTAGGGGGGATTTGTTGTTCCGCGGTGTGTATGGACCTTTAACTGCCAACTAAACGGCGCCCAAATAAGTAAATATGCGGTTAGTGTCGTCCAAGTGAGAGGAGCCCGAGTCCGGATTGGAGTGGGTTTCTCTGCCTTTGGGGGGGGCGAGGGGGCTCGCGGAAGCTCCATTTGTTTTGGCTGCAGTGGTAAACCGAGGAGTGTAAACATAGCAAAGCAAAGGTAAGCGATTACGCGATCTTCTTGTAGACTTGATAAGGGCCTCCCTCCAATTGGTACAGGCAGACAGGGGCAACACATAATCCCGTAATGGTAGCTGCTAGTTTGGCTATAATTCCTGGCTGGCAACCCGAACCACCTAGTTGTCATGTAAAATAACAAAACAGCTAGTTCGCGCCGTTGGTCTGTAAACACTTGTTATAGAGTCAGGAGCTAGTTTGTTAGGTAAGAACTGTCTTCTGTAATATCAGTGGTGTATAGTAACTAGGTACATTTACTTATAAACAAAACAGGTAATGTATGTTGTACTGAAATTGACTGCATAACACATACTTTTATATATTGATGCGATGCCAATGCTTTTTTGTACTTTTACTTGAGTAACGGTTTGAATGTAGGACATTTACTTGTAACATAGTAATCCTACAAGAACTGAGTACTTCTTGTACCTCTGTGTAATAGCACACATGACACTAGTCGACTGCTCATTTGAGTGTATTTGTTTATTTCTGGCGAATGTATGAATTGCATGCATGAAACTAGTTGCTAGTCACGAGAAACAGGTTGAACGTGACTACTTTACCTTCAAGGCAAGGTTCCCATAGTTATTTGTGTGATCTTTGCCTAAACGTGCAGCTCCGGAGGAATCGTGTCTCTGAATGTGCTGAATACCTCGCAGTGTGTTGGTAAACTTGGAGGCGTGGTATAAACACAATCAGAGCCAACTCTTCTGTGAGCTTCCCCAGCGAGTTCACTTTAGCTTATTAGCCTTTGTCTAGTAAATAATGTTCACATTGTAACACCGGCACATGTGGTTTGGATAATTCACTTTCATATGGGGGTAAAGGGCTTTGGGGCGAATTCAATTCCAGTGCATCAGTAAGTGTCTTAACCAGTCACGCGCCTCCCTGCTGAGTGTCTGGTTTCATATGTCCTTGTCTCTTGTTACCCAGCTCGGTTGTAGGGCACATTTGCCTGGTGTGTATAACTTACAGTATGTGTTTAAAGCCGGTGCCCGGTTTTAATACAGCTGCGCAGATTCACTGTTGCCATCCGGCTCCGTCCTGGCACTTTGCTTTCAGGGTTTCTAAACATTGCTCCCTTGGATTTCTGCAGCAAATTAGTGCCAGAGCAAACAGCACTGTAGATATTTTCAAGTGTTTGTCAGTAAGGCCTGAGTGCCACTGGTGGTTGTAATAAAGCATGATGTTTTTTTTTTTTTTTTAAATAGTGCATTATCTGTGAGATTTACCATTGGAAAGCTGAACTCCATATTTGAATGCAGAAACATTTGTAGTTGAATGTGTATTTGGCATTCCATCTAAGTGTTTTTCACCAAAATACCCTTCTTTTTTTCTTCTTTGTACCCTAGTGTACTGCTTGCTGTGTGATCTCCTTAAGAGTGTGTCTGCCGAGCTGAGGATCCCTCTGAGCGGCAGGAAGCCTCCCTCAGCGTCAGTGCGACGATGACCGAGCTGGTTGCCAAGTGGCCCTGTGAATACTGTACATACGAGAACTGGCCGTCAGCCATCAAGTGCACCATGTGCCGCGCTCAGAGGCCCAGCGTGGGTGCTATCATCACTGAGGAGCCCTTCAAGAGCAGCCCCCCTCTGGATGCCAGTCTGCACCAGTGGGACCCTGCAGGCCTCAGCAACAGCCCAACCCAGGGGGGATCCAGCCTACTTATTTGCCCAGACTCCAGTGCCCGACCCCGCGTTCGCATTGCTGATGTACCTGAGACTAGTAGCAAGTGGTCATGCCACATGTGCACCTACTTGAATTGGCCTCGGGCCATCCGCTGCACCCAGTGCCTGTGCCAGAGGCAACACGCTCAACACCAAAAGCATGGGCAACACAGAGCCCATCAGGGACATATCACCCAGCACCCTCGCAGCCCCACAGAATCACCCCAGAGCTCAGGCTCCGGATGCCGTCCTGCTCCCTCAGCCACCATTACAGACCCCTGTGAGGAATATAATGACCGCAACAGGCTCAACACTCATGCACAACACTGGACCTGCACCGCCTGCACTTACGAGAACGGGGCCAAGGCACTTAAGTGTGTGGTGTGTGATCACCCCAGGCCAAATAGTATGCTGGCTGAACCCATTGAGCTAGCATCAGAGCCTGAGATTCACCAACCTTCCTCAAAACGTAATGCACAGGAAAGGGACAACAGGAGGGGTGTCATTGGGCATATGGTCGGGCAAGGAGTAGGGGGCGTGCTAGGGGGGGTAGTGGGTTGTAGCAGCAGCAGCCAAAGAAGGTCACCTCCAACCTCAAAAAGGGAGTCAGAGGTGAACATGGACTTTCAGAGGATTGAAGTGGCATCAGGAGCTGGGATTGGGATTAAAGAGGAACTGGAGGTGGATTTTAAAAAACTGAAGCAGATTAAGAACCGGATGAGAAGGACTGATTGGCTCTTTCTCAATGCCTGTGTTGGTAAGTTTCAATTATTTTTATGTAGCATGTATTGCATTTTAGGTTTTTCCCTTGTGTTTTGTTATGTTATGAGGTTGGCAATGACTCATCTGAGTGATGTAAGATAGACCAACAGAGAACTGGGTGACTGTGAAATGGGATTCCCCAGAATGTGTGTGAATACTTGATATGTTTTACCCTCCGCGTTAGGTAAATGGTTAAAAACAATTCAGCCAAGTCCAGGTGATTCTGATTGGCCTCCTTTTGATGCTGATATACTGCATATGTTCAGAAATCCCCTGCATTCAGCTGGTGTAGAACTCCTCTGCACAAACAGCGAGAGCAGCCCACACTGTAGACTGGAGAATGTGGAGTGGGAGGGAGGATGAACATTTAAGAACAACTAGTGATTGTTTTTTCCCCACCATCACGCTGCTATCTCACTCTTCCTCTTGCCTTCACCATGCCTACGTATAGTTTGTTCTGAACACCCACTCAACCTCCAGGCCTTCTTCCTTATATGGATCTTTGACAGACAATTCTTTTGTGTTAATCTGACAGCAACAATTTGACAGCCATGCTTGTATTTGATATCCCAATGAAGCCCTCACAGTGATAGTCATACGGCTTTTCATTACGCTACGTTCCTTAAATCAAAGCCGGGATAATCGGGTCTGACTGTCACACAAACATCACAGTTTGCTTTAGGTCCTACACTTGGTCTATTGCTGCATGTGACAGGGTGAATTCCCTCATGCCTGTGTGGCTTGTCCCCTTGGGACCAAGTCTCGTCTGGTCAGAGTGGGTCTGATTTCTCTTTTAGCATATTCAAGTGTTGGCTTTCCTTATCTGATCAGACATCTCTCCATTGTCCCTTAGAGGAAGTGAAATCCAAGCACTGTCCGAAATCACTCTCTATTTGCCAGAAGACTCATGACATGTATTTTTGTGAAAGTGTAGGTTATTTTCATGACTGATATCTGCCTATTGTTTCCTAGTCATTTGCTCCTGGGAGAAGTGCCCATTATATATATGTTGTATATCTGTTTCCCAGGGAGGATGTAGACATATGCATATTGATTGCGTTATTTGACCAACAGCAAGAAACCCCGTAATATCCAACTGACTGTCTTTGTAAACAAAAACAAAACCAACAAATATTTGCATTTGAGGAGAATCATTTGGAATTTTTGCTTGCTAAAATCATATTTTATTACATTATTGTGAGCACACTCCTTCTCAATAAAACCTCAATGCAATGTTTAATCTTTTGCTCATGAACTGTGTCAGCCTTGAAAAGTGAAAAGTATATCTTTGTAAAGTATTTGGCAATAGCAATGACCTTCGCTCCTATATTCAGGATGACCTTATATCAACTCTCTAAATTCAACCGGTGTGGCTTACATGTGTGGTTACACCCTATCAGGAAATGCTTGGTTGTAACTTCTAGCTTTATAAATGGCTCTGGTTCATTTAGGGTCAGTGAGCCCACACACATAATAATACCACATAACGTTCCTAGCTGTTCTGTGTGACAATGTCTGATGTGAAAGAAGACTATATTCTTCTTGTTTAATTCATAATATTTGTGCCTGTAAATTAGGAAATCCCTGAAGATGTCTTTTGGAATACAAGAACTTCTGGTAATGCTATCCTGTCAATTAGGTATTGGGAATGGGTTTGAATACATCTTCACTACTTGTAAAGATTCAGCCCTCAGGACCTTAGTTCTTACATCATTCCACTTGTCTGCAGTGCAGGTTTCAGTCCGAGTGATCTTATTGTGTAACTTGAGAAACGGAGGCAGATGTCTACACTATTATAAGGGAAAATGATTCTGACAAAACATTTACATTCTGGCTTTTGCCCAAAGCAACTCACGAATAAATCCACTTTGTGTGGAAAGAAATAGTTCTAAGAAAATAAAAAAGGGTATACTCCCACTTTTGCAGTAGGAGGAAGAAATGGAAGACACAAGACAGAGATGTTGTTGTTGTATCTATGAAGCGCTGTTTTAATGTTAACTGTGATGGTCATGGTTGTTTTCCATGACAGAAAACCCCTGCTAGGCAGACACATCTTCCAGTGTATGATAGATTTACATTACCACTGACTATTGATCCTTTTCGTTTGACAGAGGTCACAACAGTCTATATTACTGAAAGAAAAAGCACGTACTGAGTGGGAGAGAAGATACCAGCATCACTTAGCCTGACCCATCCCCTATCTCCTCCTCTGTCTTTAAGTGTATGCCATTTTGCATATTTCCCACTGTTTTTGTTCTCTGAAAGATCTGTGGGTACAGTACCGGCTGCAGGGCAACAGGCACACCCACACTGTGTGTTTTTTGCAAAGTGGTTGTGATCGCTCTTCATCACACTGCGCTGCTATTGTGTAGTTCCTCTCCTCATCTCTCACAGTGCTAGCCAGCTCCACATGGCACAGCGAGTCCTTCCGCCCACTCCATGTCTCTCTGAGTCTCACTCACACAGATCATGCAGCAGAGCATTGTGTGTGGTCCTTTGACGCGAGAACGAAAGCTCAACAGTGTTTGATGCTTTCAAAAAGTACGAGAGAATACTACATGGGCCTTTACTGTACATGCTAGAAAAGGAAAGAGACACTTTGTGTTGCTGTGTGGCATTGGAATTAATTTACACTTTGTTGTTTGAGTTTATTTATTACATCATGATCACACACTTGTCGAAATAGTTTGCCCTTCAACAGCTTCTAAATGTGTATTCATCTCATTGCGTCTGCTGCCATTTTGATCGCAGTACTAACGGCTGGCATTGGTCGGAGCTTTTTCTGTGTCTAATGAATCATACGACCACCCACATATCCATGTCAGTCCACCTTTAATCAGTGTGTGCTATTGCTTTGGTTTAGGAGTTGAATCAAAGACATACCTAGCAGGACAATTCACTATTACAGCCACACACTGCATGCTCACAACCTTTGTTTCAATCCTTTTTACTTGAAGGCACAGATTAATGGCGCGGTCTGGAGCATCAGATGTGTATGAGTTCATAGGATTACTAAAGGAAAGCTTACTTGGCATAATAACTTCAAAGCAAACGACTGGTTTATTCTTCAGACATTCAAATATGTCTCGACAGTTTGAATGTCTCGTTGAATAGATCGGCGCTTCGAGTTTGTGTGCTCGTGGTTGACATAAATAGCTTTCGTCAGATGGTAATATTTGCACACTGTGCCAAAAAAGTAAAGAAAAGCAAACACCTGCATCTGTCAGATCAAACACATCCTCCAACCCTCACGCTAAAATCTAAGCCTGGAGATTAAGAGGGGGGGGGAAATATCTGGCAGATTACAACGTGGCCCCCTATTGTCTTTTTCTCTTCACTTCAAAGTCAGTGAAGTCTCGAAGCTGTTACAGCTGCCACAGAGATAAAGCACATTCTGCTCTCTAAAATGTTATACTTCATGGTTGAGTACAGAATGTCCTCTGCACACGCTTGTTCTTAAGATGAGTCATTTTTGTATCTATTGATGTGATTTTAGTACAGATATCACAGTTGTCAACAAGTACAATCCTTAAGGCTGCATGATGCAATTGAAGTAAACACATTTTAACTTTTCAGATCTTTTGATTTATTTATTATTAATGATGTTGATTTGGGTCAAATGCACAAACTGCTTGATTTTGTTCTATGTCTTTTATTAAAAAGTATTACAAAAAATGTTTCTAAATGTGACCGTTTCCCTCTCTCTTTGTCCGAAAGGTGTTGTGGAAGGTGACCTGGCAGCTGTGGAGGCCTACAAGTCATCGGGAGGTGACATCGCACGGCAGCTATCATCAGACGAGGTGCGCCTATTAAACCGCTCGTCTGCATTTGATGACGGCTTCACGCTGGTTCACCTAGCCATCCGCTTCCAGAGACAGGACATGCTGGCTGTGTTACTCACAGAGGTCAGTGCAGACAACCAACAGAGTGTGAGTCCAGTTCAGGAACCACCTGTATCAGCTGATGGACGCCGGGGAACCTTCCAAACACACGGCAACCACCAACTACACTCTGCCATCTAATATCTATACTAGGCAGATTATAGATCAATGTGGATCATTCTGTTCAACAAATGCAACATTTAAATTGTTTTGCATCATGGAAATGTGTTTTCATAATCCCATTTCGCCTGTTATTTAAAAAATAAATTCAAAGCCATGGTCTCCAGTGGAAATGACCCCCTTGAATCAGGGTTGTGATTGCAGCAGAGCTTGTTTCTGGGTCAGCGTTGATGCAGCTTTTTCTTGTGAAGTCGCTTAATCTCAACGTCCAATGAGATCAGCCCGGAGGACTGACAAGGGCAAATGGTCTGTAGAGAGGAAGGAGACACGCTCCTCTCTCTGTGCCTGCGGGAGTATGATAGCCGTTCCTTTATTTACAACGTTTTTAATCATTTTTATGAGCATTTTGATACAAATGTGGGTTCCCTGGTGTGTCTGTGCAACAAGACGGCTGATGTATGTGTGTGTTTGTCTGCAGTGTGCTTGTGCTGAGGTTGGCTGCAGCTCGCTTACCGTCACCACTGTGATCCCAGGTTATCTGTAAACACACCTCTCCTCCCACACTGTCTGTCCCAGTTCTTTTTTCTAAGGGGGTCAGTGAGTAACCGCTGGTTCATGCCCCCGAAAAAGCTCCAAAGCTGACATCTGCTCGAACACCACACATATATATACACTTCTATTCTGAGATTAGATTAGTGCAAGTGAAATTAGACCTCTGAGTCAACTGTGCCGGAAAAGGAATTTACATTTATTTTTGCTATATGTGCTATCAGCAGCCATCACTAGCTTAAGCCAAAAGGCAAATACTTTCATTACTATTATTACTTTTATTGGTATCTACAGGAAGCTTCCTTATTTCCAAATTGTATTTAAGCACCACGACATCTGAGATTCCTACCCAGTTATATTCTCTTTTAAAGTGCTTGTATCTTCCTCCCCTATACCCTCTCTGTGCAGGTGTCCCAACAGGCAGCCAAGTGTATCCCTGCCATGGTGTGTCCTGAGCTCACGGAGCAGATCCGCAGAGAGGTGGCAGCGTCTCTTCACCAGCGCAAGGGAGACTTCACCTGCTATTTTCTCACTGACTTGGTGACCTTCACCCTGCCTGCAGGTCAGCACCACAAACACATATGCAATTCTCTTAAAACAATAAGCATGACTGTCAATAGCATGAATTCCAGCAGCTGTCCCGAAAGTATGGTTTCTGGGTTTTGTGAAAACTCTGTGGTTGACAGAAACCCAGTCTAGCCCTCCCCTCTGGCTTGCCAAGTGTGTGACAGAATGCTTGTTTTGTTTACTTGTGGCTTGTGAAATTGCTAGTTGTTTGGATGCTGATGGGACATAATGCTATGGTTGTCTGATTCCAACTGTAGAAGATGGAGGCTACTCCTGGCTCACTGTTTGAGTATTGTTCTTGCATACCGAGTATACCATCACCGCAACAATGCATGTTTCTTGTTCATTACAAAGATATATAGCAATTTTGCCAATGAATGTGTAAAATGTCATGCATTCAGTGCTATTTCAGTTGAGCTTCATTGTGTGGAATAGCTATTTATGTTCTAGTATGTTGCTGGTGGTTAGGCTAAAGACTGTTGTTATGTGTTGACAATGCAGACCTTGGCGTATGGCCACTATAGAAAGCCATTCTGTTCAGTTCCACAAAGTCACTGCATTCATTTATTTTAGCTGAAGAATAAGCCTCTGTGTTGACAAGAGCAACGAGCATGCAGTGGAAGCCAGTGGCCATTGTGGAAAGAACAAATCATGGTGGCTTGAGTTGAAATGAGCCATGCCAGAAACAAAAAATCGAGTTGGCCTTTAAATCATTTCAGTTAAGAATAATAGCTAGTTAAAAAAAACCTCAGACTGTGCTCTCCGTGTCATTTCTTATAATACTCTTTTTTTGTGTCAGACATCGAAGACTTGCCCCCAGCAGTTCAGGAGAAGCTGTTTGATGAGTTGCTCGACCGAGACGTACAAAAAGGTGAAATATTTACTCTGTCCACTTCCTGACTTTGTGTTGCAGTTACACCAATCACACGCTGTGCTTACATATGGATGCAATTGCTTGGAGAAAGAGAAACCCGATCCAAGATGACTACAATAGAGGGGAATGGCAAACATTGGGAGCCCCCTCACAAACTGTGTACGATAGTGGGAATACGGACAGTGATATGTAACTTGTAATTTCCCTCTTGCCAGCACAGCGTTTTGCCTTCCTGCTTGTCACTCTGCCAGGCGCTCTGTCCTTATCGTGTGGAGCCGTTGCCTCTGCCTTAATCAGCCTAATTGAGTTTTAGGGATTTCTCTGATCCCCATTTCATGATTTCTATTTAGCCTCAGCCCACACATGTACAAATATAAACAAAAAGGCATCGTTTTGTATTCAAAACGGTTCTTTATTTAGTTTCTTGCTTGCATGGGTGTCATGTTAAATGAGTCACCTGGGCCTTATTTTTGGCACTACAATATATTTCCAAAGATACAAAAACCCTTATTTCACCTTGACTCAATGAGACACTCCTTAATCTCAACCACAGGTTTTCACTACCCTTTGAATGACACAAAACCAACATTATTTTTGATTCCCCTGTGCTAACTTGCCCCAATTAGTGACATTGCGCTACACAAGTATAATAAATGGATGTTCCAAACCTTTTCTGATGACCTAGTGACGAGCTTTTGAAAGATATTGAACAGACATTAGACTTTAAAAAAAGAAACTGCTGAATTCTTATAACAATATTCATATATTCTTTTTATATATAAGCACTTTGAGCACCAGGGAAATCGCTATATAAAACACATGTATTATTATTATTTGTATTATTATTATATAATAAAATAGAAAAAGCACCAAAATGTAGTAAGAAGATGTTTGTCCTGCTTTTACAGTGTAGTAATACAATGCCACATTGATTTGGAGGCACTGGGTTAGAGGTATCTTTGTATCTACTTGGACGTTTCCAGACTGTCTGTTTTGTGCTGTACATGTATACAGCTATTTGGACATCCTCATGTCAAGTTTTCATTCACAACAACAGTCCTTTCACATGCCATTACATGTCTTGTAACATGGGGGAAAGAAACTATGACCTTTTAACAACCTTTGCACATTTCTTATTGAAATGTAAGTCAACAAAAACACACAAAAAGAAACGCAACACCAAAGTGACACTGATACACACAAAAAGAAACCGATGAATCCTAATACACACAAAAAGAAACCGATGAATCCTAATACACACAAAAAGAAACCGATGAATCCTGATACACACAAAAAGAAACCGATGAATCCTAATACACACAAACGATAGTTACGGCTGTAACTACGGTTCTATGAGTCCCGGATGACCGCCAGAGGCGGTGCTTTAAGCACTGGATATGTCCATCGCGCGCATGCGCAGCTCGAGTACCAATAACAACAAAGTCAGCTGTGACCCACGTGACACCGGCTATATCAGCCGGTGTCGTCAGAGGATCAGTTCCCAGAATCTTCTCGCGAGCACACAAGAATTCTGAGTGACAGGGAACTCTGGCGGTCATCCGGGACTCATAGAACCGTAGTTACAGCCGTAACTATCGTTCTATTTCGTCCCTACTGACCGCCAGAGGCGGTGCTTTAAGCACTGGATGACTTATACCAACAATGTCATGAAGAATCCAAGCCCTTGCTCACCACTGGAAACAGCGGAGCTCGGCAAAAGGACCACGCCCAAAGAATGGGGAGTGGCGACATTGACCTGATGACAACTGGAGAATGTGCCAGAAGACGCCCACGACGCCGCGGCGCAGATGGTCTCCAGGGGCACCACCCTCAGGGCAGCCCAAGATGTTGAGATGCTCCTTGTAGAGTGGCATCTCAGCCTGATGGCAGGGGGTGGCCACTGGCCCCGTAAGCCTGTGAGATGGTATCGACAACCCAGTGGGGCAGCCACTGGTTAGAGGGCATAACCTCCTTTAGTGCCGCCAGGGCAAAATCAAGAGTTGCTCCTACTGCCGTATACAGGCAGTAGCCTTGATATACGCCCTTTGGGCACCCCCAGGGCACAGCAACTTCGACGTGCCGTACTCCTGAATGTCAAAGCGTGCCAGCTGGGCAGGCTGATTGAAGTGGGTTTGTGGAAGGATCCCGGGCAGGAATGCCACATTTGCCCAAAGGGCAACGCCTGAGAGTCCCACCTCGGGCATGTATTGTTTATGGAGAGGACATGCAACTCCCCGACTCGCTTCCCTGAGGCTATGGCAAGCAGAAATGCTGCCTTCGTGGGCAGCCACCTAAGCCCCACCTGGGCCAGGGGCTCGAAGGGAGGAGATGATCGGGCATCCGGCAGCAGGGGCAGGTCCCAAGCCGGAGCCCTCGGGGTGCTAGGGGGACGCTGCCGTAAAGCCCCTCTCATAAAGAGGGACACCGACCTGTGGCACCCCGCCGTGGCGCCGTCGACCCGAACATGTCGGGCAGAAATCGCAGCCACATAAATTCAGAGTGGAGTGAGAACGTCCACTATCTAGAAGGGACTGTTGTCTAAGCAACAACATACATGCTGTCCCCAAGGAACACGCACATTCTTGCCCCCCAGTTGGGGTAGAAAGTGCGTGAGTGCAAGCTGCACAGCCCGAAGCTCTAGCACGTTGACCTGGCGCGCACTCTCCTGGGCTCCCGCTGACCCTGAACGGTCCTGCCCGGCGGCCCGCTAGCAGCCCCTACACCGGGCCCAGGCTGAAGGGCCAAGAGGCGACTTCATCATGCCCCTATCGGCAGCTAGCCGATCCACTTTAGAGGACAGCCTGTTTCTAGTCCTTCTATTGGGGGGAGCACACATAGCCATCGCTCCCTCAAGTCGCCGGGAACGGCGGAATTGATATGGAGGAGGATGTGACAAGGAGAGGTGTCTGTTGGCTGCTGCCAGACGTTCCACCTCAGTGATTCTAGCCACTCTGAGCGCCCGAGGCATGCAGCTACAGCTCATGCAGGCGTTTGCCGTGAGAACCTCCCTCAGATGCTCACATTTCGTCCCCACTGACCACCAGAGGCGGCCGAGGCAGGAGGGGCAGCGGTCGTGGCCGTCCTCGGGCTCAAAAGAAGCCATACAGGCGCTACATGAATGAGCCATTCTGTAGGTAGCCAGATGCAGCGTAGCCGGGAGCGGGTGCGGGAACAAAGCCTTCACCAGCTACCTGCTTAATGGAAAGAGTAGAGCGTTGCTGCTACTCGCCGAACAGAAAGAGGGATGTAATTACACCCACGTTACTGGCAGAGGGAGCGGGAGCGAGAGCACTGCCTTCACCTTGCTGGATTAATAAACACGGCAGTTCAGCGTCTACCAGGAGCGGGGGTGAGAACACTGCCGGCTGAGTTAGAGACGAATGCCAGATGCAGCATAACCGGGAGCGGATGCGGGAACACAGCCTTCACCAGCTACCTGCTTAACTGAAAAACAAGGTAGTTCCGCGTCTACCAGGAGCGGGGACGAGAACACTACCTTCACTGGTTGAGTCAGAGACGAATGCCAGATGCAGCGTAACCGGGAGCGGGTGCGGGAACACAGCCTTCACCAGCTACCTGCTTAACGGAAAGACAAGGCAGTTCAGCGCCTACCAGGAGCGGGGGCGAGAACACTGCCTTCACTGGTTGAGTCAGAGACGAATGCCAGATGCAGCATAACCGGGAGCGGGTGCGGGTACACAGCCTTCACCAGCTACCTGCTTAACAGAAAAACAAGGCAGTTCAGCGTCTACCAGGAGCGGGGGCGAAAACATTGCCTTCACTGGTTGAGTTAGAGACGAATGCCAGATGCAGCGTAACCGGGAGCGGGTGCGGGAACACAGCCTTCACCAGCTACCTGCTTAACGGAAAAACGAGGCAGTTCAGCGTCTACCAGGAGCGGGGGCGAGAACACTGCCTTCACTGGTTGAGTTAGAGACGAATGCCAGATGCAGCGTAACCGGGAGCGGGTGTGGGAACACAGCCTTCACCAGCTACCTGCTTAACGGAAAAACGAGGCAGTTCAGCGTCTACCAGGAGCGGGGGCGAGAACACTGCCTTCACTGGTTGAGTTAGAGACGAATGCCAGATGCAGCGTAACCGGGAGCGGGTGCGGGAACACAGCCTTCACCAGCTACCTGCTTAACGGAAAAACGAGGCAGTTCAGCGTCTACCAGGAGCGGGGGCGAGAACACTGCCTTCACTGGTTGAGTTAGAGACGAATGCCAGATGCAGCGTAACCGGGAGCGGGTGCGGGAACACAGCCTTCACCAGCTACCTGCTGAACGGGAAGAGTAGAGCGGTGCTACTACTCAGCGAACAGAAAAAGGGATGTACTGTAGCTACATCTGCATTACCGGTAGAGGTAGAGGGAGCGGGAGCGAGAGCACTGCCTTCACCTAGTTGGGTAAAATAAAGAAGCTTAACAGTACACGCAAGACGTTAGCCGAGCAGCTGCTGCTATCGATCAAGCGAGATCAAGTCAAATAACACACATGTTTAAGACCAGATAACTAGCTTCTAAAGAAGAGAACAGCACAGAGCCGTAGTTACAGCAGTAACCTGGCCAGTGCTCACACGGCATATAACCGTAGTTACAGTAGTAACTATGGCCAGTACTTACACGGCTTAGAACCGTAGTTACAGTCGTAACTATGGCCAGAACTTACACAGCATAGAGCCGTAGTTACAGTAGTAACTGTGACCGGTGCCTAAAAGTGTCAGCCAAACGGCTGCCTACTAGATAATATAATATTGGGAGGATGAAATCCTCCTTAATGGCCACACATGCAGAGCACACAGCACACACAGTGAAGATTGTTCTCTGCATATCGTCCTAGTGCTAGGAGTCTAGTACTAGGAGCAGTAAATACAACGATATAGCGCTACTGCAACCATACCATGCGTTTACCGGGAGCGGGAGCGAGTTAAATAATTAAGCTTAACAGTACATGCAAGGTGTTAGCCAAGCGGCTGCTGCTAACAATCAAGCAACCAAGTCAGAACACAATGTTAAGACCAGATAATTAGCTTCTAAGAAAGAGAACAGCCCGCATAGAACCGTAGGCCATGGTTACAGTAGTAACCGCACATGCGGAGCACACAGCACCCGCAGTGAAGATGTTCTCTGCATATCATCCTAGTGCTAGGAGTCTAGTACTAGGAGCAGTAATAGTTAATAGTTAAGCTTAACAGCAAGGTGTTAGCCAAGCGGCTGCTGCTAACAATCAAGCGACCAAGTCAGAACACAAATGTTAAGACCAGATAATAGCTTCTAAGAAATAGAAAGTACTTACCTTACTCTCTGCATCTAAACGAAAAACGGGTTTAAAATATGACACTCTGGGCTTTCCATACTAAATTGAATGAGGGACACAGCCAAAGCTGGGACTCAAATGCTAATGATAGCTCGGGCACAACGCCACAAGCAGAACTTTCAAAAGAGCATAAGGGCAACTTTATGGCAGAGGAAGCGGGAACACTGTCGTCACCTGAAAGTCTAAGCCAAACAAAAAATAAGACAGCAATCAGGACAACTTGGCTGGGAGAGGGTGCGGGGACACAGCCATCACCAGCAACAAGCTGACACCGACCTGTCTGTCGAGGATCTGCACAGCGCACAGCCGGCCACAGCTCCTGGAGGACGCGTTAACGACCCGTAGCTCCGACTGTCAGTCACGAAGCTGCACGCGGCCAGCTGCTTGCAGAGAAATCCCTCAGATCAAACGTTCAAACCTGAACGCTGTAGGCTACAAAAATGTAGCCACGGTACCCTCGCGCAGCGAGAAGATGAAAGTAACTGATCCTCTGACGACACCGGCTGATATAGCCGGTGTCACGCGGGTGACAGGTGACTTTGTTGTTATTGGTACTCGAGCTGCGCATGCCGCGATGGACATATCCAGTGCTTAAAGCACCGCCTCTGGCGGTCAGTAGGGACGAAATAGAACACATCACATCTTTGCAAGCCTAAAAATAACAAAACCTTAAAGATAGTATAACATTACAAAATAAAACAAATGAAGAAAATAAGGCCCATTTCATTATTGTATGGAAGAACTGTCTCTCAGGGTGATTACAAAAGATGTGTTCCCTTTGAGGTAAAAAAAACTGTTAATACCACTGAGTTGTTGCAAAGACAAACGGTATCAAACCCCTGCTTCATCCTTGTGCAGAGCTTGAAGAGGAGTCTCCCATCATCAACTGGTCCCTGGAGCTGGCCACCAGGTTGGACAGCCGGCTGTACGCCCTGTGGAACCGCACGGCCGGGGACTGTCTGCTGGACTCAGTGCTGCAGGCCACATGGGGCATCTACGACAAAGACTCAGTGCTCCGCAAGACCCTCCACGACAGCCTGCACGACTGCTCCCACTGGTGAGACCACCGGAGCACAGATACTGAGTGTTTATAGTCCTTTAAGACTCAACCTGTGAGCATCATGGCGTGCTGACCTGCATCTAGTCTCAGGCATGTTTAGGAGACTGAATGACACAATGCACCAAAGGTAGAAAAGTGTTTTTAATTAGCAAACATCTTTATTTGGGCCAAAGGCATATATGCTGCATTTCTGTATACATTTACTGCAGACTGAACAATAGGTGTTTTTTTATACAATTCTAGACCATTGCAGTTTTAGCAAAACATGCGTGTGTCAGCCATGTTTAATCTTGTTCTTTAAACATTTAGCTTGGACTGTTTTACACAGTAAGGTTAAACATTTTGCAGGTTTAGTATTTTGGTCAAGCACAAAGAAACAGCCTTCAGTGGTCTCAAGTTATGTTTAGCTTTCTTTGGCCTTGCACGACCATGTTGGAAATTGTGATTTAGAGGTCGGGATGTAGTCCAAGAATCCAAAATCTGGATTGCCGGCTCATGCAGAGATCTGAGAGGCTTTGACTGGGGATTTAGACCAGTCGCACACATTTTAGAGGAGATTAATGCTCTCTTACCCCAGTGTAACGTCGGAAGCACTGCAACAATTTAAGGCCGTGTTCTACAGGAACACAACAGCCCAGTGTGACTCATGTCTATTTCTAAACTCTGGGATTTGCAGTGAGAAAATTACTATTTAGATATAATGAGTAATTGCCATGCAACCTAAACCACAACAGGGATGAATAGCAGTCACACGCCTTTCTGCACAGAGAGGTCAATTAATGTCAACAGACAAAACTGTGTGTGGTGTGTGTGGTGTGTGTGTGTGTGTGTGTGTGTGTGTGTGTGGTGTGTGTGGTGGGTGTGTGTGTGTGTGTATGTGGTGTGTGTGGTGTGTGTGTGTGTGTGTGTGTGTGTGTGTGTGTGTGTGTGTGTGTGTGTGTGTGTGATGGTTGTGGTGTGTGTGTGTGTGTGTGTGGTGTGTGGTGTGTGTGTGTGTGTGTGTGTGTTGTGTGTGGTGTGTGTGTGTGTGTGTGTGTGTGGTGTGTGTGTGTGTTGTGTGGTGTGTGTGATGTGTGTGTGTGTGTGTGTTGTGAGTGTGTGTGTGTGTGTGTGTGGTGTGTGTGTGTGTGTGTGTGTGTGTGTGTGTGTGTGTGTGTGTGTGTGTGTGTGTGTGTGTGTGTGTGTGTGTGTGTGTGTGTGTGTGTGTGTGTGTGTGTGTGTGTGTGTGTGTGTGTGTGTGTGTGTGTGTGTGTGTGTGTGTGTGTGTGTGTGTGTGTGTGTGTGTGTGTGTGTGTGTGTGTGTGTGTGTGTGTGTGTGGTCTGCAGGTTTTACACGCGCTGGAAGGAGTGGGAGTCGTGGTATTCCCAGAGCTTCGGCCTGCACTTTTCCCTTCGGGAGGAACAGTGGCAGGAGGACTGGGCTTTCATCCTTTCCCTGGCTAGTCAGGTACATGCACATGAAAGCTAACACGCACATACATATGGAGGACAGGAGCTTGATGTGCTTCAAATGTGACACACTAATGATGTATGAATTATGCAAGAAGCTTTACTGCTCTTACCGCGGTATACTTAATCTGTTCTGCCCTGTGAAAGTGCATCCTGTCTGTCATCAGCCCTTCTCTGCCTCTCACTGCTCTGTGTGACCTCACTGACTAAGTATTTTGGGCGGGTTGTTATTATATCTGGGTGTGAAAGCGCAGTAATTGTGAGTTTTTTCATGTTTTAACACTTGCTGGGGTAACTTGGCAGAGGGAATGTACAGTATTCATGACTCCATGCCTTGTAGGTTAAAAAAAAAACCCGGCTTTTTAACTACATGTTCCCCTTTGTGTCGTACTTTCTTTGCAGCCTGGATCCAGCTTGGAGCAGACCCACATTTTTGTTCTTGCACACATACTTCGTAGGCCTATTATCGTCTATGGAGTGAAGTATTACAAAAGTTTCCGTGGAGAGACGCTTGGGTACACCCGTTTTCAAGGTGAGGAGATCTTTCACTGTCATGACAAATAATATTTGAATGTGGAGTGCAGGCCGTATAAGGACTACACTTCTTCTGTGAAACAGCTCCAGCCTACATGTGTCTGCATTGCTTACATAGCAGACATAACTGCCCCTCTGCACTGTCACAACTCTACAACATGTTTCAGGCTGTTTCTTTCCTTAAGGAAGTATTTGGGGCTGTGTGACTCAAAATAACATAAACAACAGAACACGCATGCCTATTTATAGGAGGGAGTGGTGGAAAAAGTATTGTAATTATTTACTTAAGTAAAGTACTATAAATACTGTACTACAAGTAAAGGTCCTGCATTCAAAACGTTACCCAAGTAAGTAAGTCAGGTCGTGCTTAATTGTATTCTCTTTGGTTGTTAAACACACAGAAATGCATCACATTCTCTAATATCATCATTTATTTGTAGCATCTTTGTCTGTGCATCTGAGAGAATAACTAGATTATTTAGCTTAAGAGTTAGGAGAGTTTTCCCAACCCTTCATTTTCTTGTTTATCAGAGTATATATTTAAAGTTTGCAAATTTAGAGATGCATTGTTGTCACTGGACAGGAAGAAAAGTGTAATCTTAATGTTCAGGTAACCAACGCTTCTAGACAAATGTATTTGAGTAAAAAGCACATTTCTCCCTCTGAGATGTAGCGGAGTCGAAGAATGAAGTTGCAGTTAAATACCTAGCATAGTTTGAACTTTAGCGCGGTACTTAAGTAAATGCATTACACTGTGGATGCTGTGAAGTGTTTCACACACACATCCAGACGCACGTGAACATGTGTAAACCATCAGCCCCTGTGAGCGTGGGGGGGGGGGGTCTTGCAGTAGTAACAGCCTGGTTTCAGTTTGTCTGCTGCGTGATGTTGCACAGGGGATGGTGGAAGTGCTCTGTAATGGACAGCTGCCCGCCTGATGGATCCCTGATTTACTGTTGCTGAGAGCCAGAGTAAAACACACAGGGGGGGGTGCACCTATAGAGAGGGGGGGGACCAGTAACAACAAACTGTTATTACTGGGAGACGAGAGAAGCTAAACTGAAACAAAGGTGTGCATTGTGGAACCAAGGACATATGGAATATGAGCACATGTGTCGTGCAAATCCTGTATGTCATTCTGTAGTTCACATTGACTATATGTTGTGAATGTAACAAAATAGTTTGCTGAACTTTAGTTACTTAGCAGATCAATCATTTTAACTACAAGACATACAACCAGTTGTTATATTCATTTAATGGTTTAAATAGAATGCGTGTATACTTATTAAACAATGCAACAGTATATACAATGTTAAAGTCAGCAATACCTCGACGAACTTTAACATTAAAATGTTTTTATAAATGTTACTTAATCTGTGAAAACAATCCCATACATTTTGAACATATTACTTTTGCAATTCAGATTTTGAATGCAGGACTTTTTATGGAGTACACTTTTGTTATTGATACTTTTTACTTACTCAAACGCAATAATTGCTATAATTTGGCTTTCTTACCAAATATTTATTTGTTTCTTATCAATATTATCCCTCTCTTAACTTTATCAAAGAACCTGTTCATCATTAGTTTTATTGAAAGAGGAAAACAAAAACACAAATAAGTACAGTTTATGAAGATTGCGTAGCTGTATTGATTTACGACCAACGCTAAAGCAGATTTTTTTTTGTCCTTTTTGAAAGTGTGATTTAATACATCATTGTTACCACAGAGAGAAGCCTGAATCTGCTCATGACAAATGCAAAACAATGTTTTTGAAATGGTAATCAACACTAATTAGCCTTTCATCGTGCCGCTGTGAGAGGGAAAGAGATTAATTCTGAAAGCATTCACGAACCAAACAGTCATTAAAAAAACAAGCCATTGTTCTCAAACATTTAAAAAAAAAAAAGCATTTAATTGAATTGTACTTCTTCCAACGATGTTATACACTTTATATAACTATGCAGTTTTAGTTGTTTGTCTAAAGTGCATTACTATATTTACGTCGTACAATGAACTTTTTAATGACATTTTTAAAATGTAACTGCTTTAAAAAAAGCAGTTTTTGGATTTTCATAAAGACATAATTTCCCCCCCCCTTCAGGTGTGTACCTGCCTCTTCTGTGGGAGCAGAGTTTCTGCTGGAAGAGCCCCATCGCCCTGGGTTACACGCGGGGACACTTCTCAGCGCTGGTTGCCATGGAGAACGACGGCTTCGACAATCGCGGCGCGGGCGCCAACCTCAACACTGACGACGACGTCACCGTGACGTTCCTGCCGCTGGTGGACAGCGAGAGGAAGCTGCTTCACATCCACTTCCTCTCAGCGCAGGAAGTAAGGCCCCCCCCTTTAGTGTCTACACATTTCTTGTTTGTCTTGAATTTATCTTTATTTATTTGTTTATTCCACACATGGCAGTTATTTTAAAACAAAAACATGTACACTTTACAAAACATGTACACGTACATTATACTGGTTGTTTTTTTATAGCGCCTGGTGGAAAGGAGCAGGGAGAAGAACATCTTATTTGACCTGCCCTTCTTACAAAAATAAATAAAATAAAGTAAACATAAAAGCAATATTCTTTCAGCCACAGTTGCTTACAAATACTGAAACATAAAACTAGAACACAATCAAAAGTCAACTTCATACTGTCTAATTACGCTTTCTTTATACATTTTCTTAAACATAAAACTTTGTGGGAAAATAGAAACAAACGGCTTCTATCTTTGACTACGTGACATGTGTCTTTTATCAACACAGCTAAAGCTCAACAAGAAAACCGTTGGAAGCAGTTACTCCCAGCATTCTGTTTCCATAGTAACAAACTGTTAGTGTGAAAATAGTACATCACAGAAAAGGCTCATGAGTGGATTGCTAGTGTTTAACCTCACAAACTGCTGAATTGCTCCCTTAGGGTCCGCTACAAACGTATCTACTTTAGTTTGTTTGTTACTCTACTACAGGGGTGCCCAACCAGTCGATCGACCGGTCGATCGCGGGGAGATTCCCAGTCGATCGCGAGATGTTTCTAAAAACAACAATATTCTGTTTTATCGTTAACGTCCTATAACATAATCTTCCTGTGCCAGAATAATGCATTTGAACGCATCAAATCTTTGTGATTGGCCGGCGTGACCCCATGTGTCGGGGCGTGGCTGGTGGGCAGTGGGCAGTGCACTACTTCGCTAACGTTGTTCGTGTCAACACAGGAGTGACAGTCCGCACACACACAAGACCGCAATTATGGTAGAAGCAAAAAAGCCCAAAATATATAATTTTCACTCCGAGTGGGAGGATGAATATTTTTGTATCTATTCCAATTCAAAGTCCATCTCTCTCATTTGCAATGCGAGCGTGGCTTTATCGAAGAAGGGTCATTTAGGAGCGGCATTTCAAAACAGTGCACAAACGCTACGAGACGGAATTCCCTCCTAATTCTGCCCTATGCTCCAAAAGGGGAGGGGCCTGAAAGGACAGCTAAATGCACAGCAGTCCATTTTCACCAGGCCCAACAACAAGAGCAAGGCTGCTACCAGAGCATCTTATCGTGTCAGTCACGTTCTTGCGAAACACATGAAGTCTTTCAAAGACGGCGAAGTTGTGAAAGAAGCTTTCCTGGAGGCTGCTGACGCGCTTTTTGGGGACGGTAAAAATAACAGAAGCATTTCAACAGGTTTTTGATATAATAAAAACTCAAGTTAGATACCGTTATTAATCAGCTGTAAGCTGTTTGAACTTATTCATTATAATTATTGTACAAAATGGTATAAGAATTCAAACTTAAATTGATAATAGTCTATTATCAATTCAGGTTAAGAAACTAGTGTTGCTTGCATCCTATTTTAAAGGCATTTATTTTTATAATCTACTAAAATGCAACAAAAAAAGGGTTTGATTCTATTAATTTTGTCTTTTTTATTGCACTTTGGCAGCAGATTCCTGTGTAGCTTCAGATCTGAGTTGTCTTATTAGTAAGCGTAATTTATACTTTTGTAGCAACACTATTTTTATATAATGGCAAAGAAAGGGTTCAGAGTCTTTTCTTTTTTCCCTGTGTCATATGTGGCAGCACTGTTCAATGTTTCTTTTTTTTCTCACTGTAGTGACGTGTGAATAAACTCCAACTCTATATCAACAACACTATTGTGTAACTTCAGTTAAATACTTGTATGTGTGTAGATTAGAAAGAGGTAAGATAAAGGATCTGCAGTATTTTATGAAGTATTCATCGTACAAAGGTCAGTTTTATACAAGTAGAAGTGTGTATTTACCTGGTAGGCTGTCAGTAATGGCTACGCCTCTCTATTTGGACTGGTAGATCTCGGCAGACTGGCAACTTTAAAAGTAGCTCTCGGTTCAAAAAAGGTTGGGCACCCCTGCTCTACTATCAATGTGGCTCCCTGATGGTGGTGTGTGTCCCCCTGCAGATGGGGTAACGAGGAGCAGCAGGAGAAGCTGCTGCGGGAGTGGCTGGACTGCTGTGTGACGGAGGGGGGGGTGCTGGTGGCTCTTCAGAAGAGCTCACGACGTCGCAACCACCCTCTGGTCACCCAGATGGTGGAGAAGTGGCTGGACGGGTACCGGCAGATCCGCCCCTGCGCGTCTCTGTCTGACGGAGAGGAGGAGGAGGACGATGAAGACGAGTGACAGAACTGAAGCGAGGCGAGGGAGGCGGTCTGCTGGGGGGGGGGCAGGACTCCTCCCTCTCCTCTGTCTTACAGTTTTTTTTTTCTTTCCTGACACGGACAAACTGTGAAAGCCTTCAGGAGAGGACAGGGAACCAAGCCCCCCCCCCCCCTCCCCCACTGACAGGAGACACTGCTGCTCTTCTATCACACGCAGGCACTCGGACAGACACCTAAAAACACGTGCAACACTTTACTCTGAAAATGCTGAGACTGACAAATTGCTGCGAGACAAAGGTTTACGAATGCAAACGACCTTTTGATTTGTTTTTCAAATGTAAAGGAATAAAGGATTCTCGATCCATAGATGTAAATGCATGTGGTTGTTTTAAAAAGAGTATAAGGAAATATACCAGCATTTATATCTGTTCAGTGTGGGCACTGAGAAAAGCACACTTCCAAATTGATCTTTTTGATGTTTCTTTTTCCATTTTAAGACTTGGCTTGTTACGTTTTTTTTCTTCTGAATGGGCAGGGACAAAGCCAATAAATATTATCTGTAGAAAACCAGAGATTGTGTAATACTAAATGACTTTAATCCTTATTACTAAGCACTGCACATTTATTAAAAACATTTCTATATAAATACAGTATCATTGCTTGAATTAAGGTCATATATGAAGCTCTTGAAAAAAGGAGATTTTCCCTTTACAAGTCAAATCTACACTCAATCTTCGCACACAAACATTCATGTTGGATCTTTGGTTTACCTTTTTCAGACTGATTGAAGTTGTGTGCGTGTGTGTGTTTTATCTTCTCTGAAATTACTCTACATATTTATTGTTTGGAAACTTATATGAGCTACTAGGATCTTTCTGTATATTTTCTTTCTCCTTTCTGTGGTTTTGTTAATTATTCTCTCTCTTGATGAAGACACGTTGCACAGAAACACTGTTGCTGTGAGGAAAGAACCAATCATCACCATCAGTGAGAAGTTTACTTGCGTTATTGCGTGCGATTTAGTAACTCATCTGGATGCCTAGAATCTGGTGCTTTTCTTTTGGGCAGTCGAGTGTGAGACACATTTAATGTCAACGTAACAGTCACAGCGTTGTTTGTTATTTCCTCTTTGTCCCTTTTTCCCTCATAGCATTTGTTGTCAAAGTCATGGTACACGTCAGTTCACCTCCTGTTTGTTGTCCTCCTTTAAGTTTGTGATTAAGGTCATTGTGAGACTGCAACATATAAAACCAAAGCTGACAGAAGAAAAACAAGTTACTTTTTTTGCTGTGAATGTTTTGCATTTCGTTTTTTTTCCTGCCATTGCGTACTGTAACCTCTTTCCTGTTTCATTCAAACTCACGTTTTGAGCAGTACGTTGCTTTGTATTTATGCAATAGTTGCAGTTGTGACTATGATGGTTTGTGGATTTAGGCCTGACTTCACTATACAGAGTGTAACGCAGTGAACGGCAACATAAGGAAAAAAAATAAAGGAAAACCTATTTGAATGTCCAACTAAACTGCTTCCTGTCTGATGTTCTTAGAAATCAATTGTTAGTTCATGTTTTAGTTTATTCTGTGATTTACATTGATAAAAACATACTATAGTTAGTTAATCGTAAACAAATGTGATTCAAAATATAATAGTGTAGTCATTTCAACTAATCCTAAAAACGTCATAGTATATTATGGCTTAACATGTTATAGTAAATGTTCTATGCAGTAAAACATCATAGTACAGTTTGTCAAACATTATGAAAGATTGTCACAACAATTATAGAATGGTATGTTCTGTAAAAAGTACATATGCTAGTATGTCATAAAAATGTTGTCATGTATTGTTATCTCTTCATTGTATTTGTTTAAACAGAGGTAATGAGATGATTCTGACAGCATTGTCAGAGAAGGCCACAAGATTCAGATTGGCCACTGCCTCCAACATCTACAAATATATCGTAAACATACTGTATGTAGACTGTGTTTAGAGTTTAGATAAATACTTCATTTTCTCAATCATAACGCTCAATGTTTGCTATTTAAATGTGTGAATGCTTATGGAGTCAAACACATCAATAATAACAATTTATATTTTGCACTAGGAAGGCAGAAATAACTTCTATCTCATGCATTCAGATACATCCCCTAGAACAGTGATTCTCAAATGGGGGTACGCGGACCCCTGGGGGTACGTTGGGGTACTGCAGGGGGTATGTGAGATTTAAAAAAAAAAAAGGTGAATTAAAAAAATTATCTTAGTAAAATAACTTAAATAGAAAACACAATTTTATATAAAACATTCCTAGAACCACCAAGGGGGTCCTCATATAAACATGTCAAATGTGTGTATTATATTTTATAGTTTTTCACAATAACATATTACTTAAATTGAAAAACTCCTTGGAAAAATCTGTTTTATAAAAGTGTTATGTTATTTTTTTTCATGCATAAAATGAAAATATCCTTAGTTTGTTGTAATGCATACCACGGAGGAGTTAATACATCACACACTGAGGGAACATCACTATATTGTAATTATTTAGATAGGCTTTTTGGATCAAAAAGTTCGGGATCGGTCAGGGGGTACTTGGCTGAGAAAATGTTTCAAAGGGATTACTGAAAAAAGTTTGAGAAGCACTGCACTAGAAAATACAGAGAATATCAGCGTTTACACGTAAAGTTTCTTATAAAGATCATACATACAAAGTAGAGACGTGTGAAAACTAATTAATGGAAAACTCTTGGGTGTTTTTATATCCTCCATATCATTTGACTTTATGACTCCTAATCTATGTAGCATTGTATAACTGCAAAAGACATCTGGGACACACCTTGTTGCATCATTTCAATGCTGCTTCTATTTTATATGAACATTTTAATGAAAGAAAACAGCAGTTTTTGAATCAAAATCTCTTTGATTTTTTTTCGATATCACGGGAACTTATAAACCAAAATCAATGTACCATTTTTATTAAATGTTAGTCCATCTTATACATTAATATTGTTGAACAAATCAACAGTCTCAATCCCTTCAATAGCTTTCATGTCAAGTTACCCATTGACTACCAATCCATGCCCTATGTTATAACTACATTGGACAATTAAGACATACATCTCTCGATAGGAGTTTAGTGCTTCTTTTATATTAAAATAATATTTTAAGGAAAAAAACAGCCGTCTGTTTGTTCAATGTCGAATTTATTTTCAACAGTTTCAACGCCATGTGACCGAGTGACATCAAATCAATGCACCGTTGTATTACTTAACTCAACAAGCAGGACACACCTTTTCATCTGATTTTAATGCTATTTCTATTTATTATGAATATTATTATGGAAATTCAGAAGTTTCTGTGGTTCAGCGCGACGGCTTGGTGACATAAGCGTCGTCTTCGGACTGGCATATTTTGCAACGTAGCAAGAAGGAGCAGCCAGATCCAGGCTGAATGTCTGTCAAATATACAACAACTCATGGATTACACATCCTGTTGAAAATAGGACTAATAGAAACAGTATTTCTAAAACCTGTTGCACAATTAATATTTTCCGACATTGACAGTTCCAGACTTTGAAACCCCTTTCAATTGTTTTTTAAGCAAGTGTTAAACATGTCCAGAAAACAAACAAATATCCCACACAGGCAATCATCAATCAGAACAGTACATTTTATTTATTGTTTCCAGCTGCACTGTATGCTATATGTTCACCTTGTACAAGAAACAAATACAAATACTCACACTAAAAACCAAACAATCTGCTAGCAGCCGTCTCTTGCTAACGTCACGGGGCTAAAAGGGATGATGTGGCGGCGGTTGTTCACGGAGGACACTCTGCCTCCGAGAACCACAGCTGGATTTCATTAGAGCAGAAAAACAAAGAGGAAGAAACTATAGGAGGAGAGGGAGTGGTCGCTCACATCAGACTATGATTATAAGAACATTTAACAAGGCAATACAAATCTAACGGAACAGAAAACCATGAACATCAAAAACGTACATTTGATATAAAAAAAAAAATAAAATACCACAATGGAGAAAGAGGTGGAGTAATGGAAAGTAAGAATCCAGTTTTTCTTTTAATTCCGATATGGACAGATTTTCTTTTTCCTGAGTCAGTAAGCTGTTTTAGTTTTTCCTACTTCGCTAACTGGAGCTGTAACGTACTGTCGGTCCTTTGGGTGCAGATATCTGGGACACTGTTCAGGCCAAATATCGTGGGTACCTCAGTTCAGCCGCGTTGGAAAATACCACAGCTAAATGTAATTGATGTTATACACTCAACGTACAATATCTAACCACAAATGGCAGTCTGCTTTTTTTCCTTTTTTGGTTTCAATGGGTCATTTTTGAGTTAATGGGCTGAAATATTCTTTCTGGAACTGGAAACCACATGTCCTGGCACACACCTTGGCTCTACATTCAGGGGCCACCAGCCACGAAGGGAAAAAGCAAAAGATGGAGTCCAGATTTCTGATGGAGACGGCAGATTCTGCTGTTGGTCTGCTAAACATACGTGTAACTGTAAATTCATTCATTTTCAAACACTGAAGAACAGAACAAACTGATATTCACTTGCAACATAAACACAGAATATAGGGTAAACAGAGGAAAGTAAAAAATCAAAAAATCAACACAAGACATGTTTGCGCTGAAATGGGCGAAACTGAGGAATAAGGGGAAGTTTATGAAGTCACTGTCGCTTCAAGTTTGTCCTTTAAATCAGGGAGGGGGGGGGGGGGGGGTCAGATGTCCATCCTGCATGTGGAAATGTCAACATGTCCCAGAAATTAGGAGGAATCTCCCCTGAAATATACTCAAAAATAAAGATTAAAATATCACTTAAATCAACGAAGAACAGAAACAGATATGGGGGAGGGGAGGTCTCAGATCTGCATGAGTTTGACGGTCAGTCCCATCTCAGTGTGGCAGCTCAGGTGTGTAATAACCATCTCAGGTGTGTTATAACCACTGTGTGTCCACTGTCCTCACTGGGGCTGTGGTTTCATACAAAATAAATTGTTGAAACGTTGCCCTACAGGCAGTCTGCTGGTGGGTTCAGATGGCTGAAGTCAAGCGTACAGTCGGATGGTTCGGTTGGTGGGGTTGCTGGGTTTTATTTATTTTTTTGTTGAAGTTGGTTTCAGCCCCCTGCTCGGTAACAGCAGCAGTCCTAAGGCTCAGTCATGTGCTCTCTCATGGGGTCGCCATGTTTGGAGGGTCGGTTGGGGGAGGGGGCCTGTGACGGATGGGTACCGGGGGGCAGGGTATGGGCGATGGGCACCCCCCCAGGCACCAACCCCTCCATCGGTCCGGGGATCCCGCCGGGGGCCACGCCCACCACACCGGGAGGGAACCTGGGGAGGGAGAGGAGAGGATCAGCTGGCGTGATGAAGAGCAGAGGGAAACCACCACAAAGTTGGACAACCTTTTTTTGCACCTGATCGTTACTGTGTGAAGTGAGGCTTTATAGTGACAGCTAATAAAACAAATACAGAATCAACACATGAAATCTGATCAATGGTATTTATTCAAATATAATGTTGTACTTAAAGAGCCTTACATTGAATCAAAACACATTTTAAAAAGGGACAAAGTTAAACATGTCAGGGAGCTCTGCCGCATAGAGGCAATACATGATGTAAGAGGTCCAAATCTGGTGTAAGGAAGGACTCTTAAGGGTCATTCACCCAAATGATAAAACATGATTCCTCACTTTCCTTACCTTGCAGATAGCTCAGATTTAGTTTGCTCAGCTCTTAAGATCTCTGCTGAATTTAGTTGATTTATGGTATAGATGCAAGACATTAAAACAATAATAAGTGATATCTCTTTACAAATAGTGTCCCTAGTGAGATATGTTTTCATCATTTGGGTGAACTGATTCCTACATACAGAGAGCTGAAAGGAAAAGTGTCAGGGAAGGGGCTGTCACTGCAAATAAAACCCTCAGCAAGACGCAAAGTTTCAGAATTTCACTTCCTTTCTTTCTTAGATGTAGTGACATAACTCTTTCTGAAAAAACTCCACAATTTTGTTCGTAACCTGTCACTTCAAAATTACAGTTGTAAAAAAAACAAGGAAAAAAAGTGCATTATTTAGATTTTTACTTTTTCTACTCCTTATATCAGGTGTGTCATCCCTAGCTGAACATGTGTGTGAACCCTTGGTTGTGTTTAGGGAATCGATGAGAGGCAGGGTACAGTGGGTTTCAGGACATGTGGGTCAAGAGTGTAAAGCAGGAAAAGGGGCCACAGATTTAAATGGGATTTGGTTTATATTAATGATGGTATTCATTTGCTTTGGCCTGTGTGCCAGCAGTGGTAGTTTTCATTTACCTGGTTGAGAATTAGGTATATAATTTGTCCTGCATTCCCCCCGTTGCTATGGCCTGTACCATGGTTCGGTTCATTTGGCTGTGTGAGAAAAGCAGTTCATTCTGGTTGAGACAATATAGAGACTGAGAAACCAAAAGCCTAAACTGAACAAGGGATTCATTCATTTGGGCCAACTACTATGTATTAATACGCCACAAAAACTAGGACCCAGGCTAAATTTCAAGAATAAAGAATTGTGACACACATAAGAACATCTAGTCTAAGCCTGATCTACGGCAGGTGCTCATGTCTCTCAGGTGGTCTCCTGTCCCCCCCCCCCCTACCTGTAGGCGGCACCGTTCATCTCAGGGTGAACTTGAGGCTGCTGCTGCTGCTGCTGCTGCTGCTGCTGCTGCTGCTCCATCATTCCCCAGGGGGCCGAGGTGACAAAGAACTCTTTGTTGACGCAGTTTCGGAGGCTGTCAGGAATACGGCCTGGGTCGGAGCAAGACAAAACATTGGTGAGATGAAAAAACGAAATCTATGGCTCCAGTCAAAAACTATTTTTGCTTAGGAATGTTTCTAACTGGGTAAAACATGTTGGAAGTATCTATAAGTATCTATAAGGCAGCTTCCTACGTTTAGGAAATACAAAGCTGGTGGTACAAAGAATACAAATACAAAGCTGGTGGTACAAAGCTTCCTTTTTTTAAATCTCCTTTAGCATAGGGTACACTGGACCATCTATTATCCAAGAACAGGGGATAATGCCGTCCAACAACTCCTTGTTGCAACAAAATTCAAAGTCAACCTAACCATTAACCTCATGTGCTGTGGCTGTTTAGTTGTAAAGGTTTGATTCTTTTTTGGACAGGATACCTTACTTTGTGTTGTAAATAATGCTTTTTTTTCAAAAAAGAAACATTAAATCCATCATCACATAATTATCATAGTGTAAGAGCAGTTGTACTCCCTTAACACCATGGTTGTCTTTTCCTAAGTCTTCATGAATTATCTTACAGATGTTTCTTTTGACGTCATGATGGAGGATAAGGAAAATACCTATGCCATACTTTTTGGACTGCAGCTTAAATGTGAAATGCATTTAGAGAAGTCAGTGTACCAGTGATGGCTCTGCGTATTTCTGTGGCGGCGGCCTCTCTCATCTCCAGTGATGCCTGCTCGCTGTACCAGGCGGTGTGGGGGGTGCAGATCAAGTTGGGGGCGTCCTTCAGAGGACCTTGGGAAAAAACTGCTCAACAGAAATATGGAGAGAAAAAAGTAAATAAGAGATGAAAAAGAAAGTATTTTTCTAACAAGATTGTTTTGATTTCATTTAGATTTGGGCATCCATTTCCGTCACTTATTAGGGTCTATTAGGAGTCGCTATGTCCTATAAATGAGCGATTCTAGCGATGAAATACTAAAATATGTTTTAACAGTCAGTTGAATCACCTGAAAGGCTCCGACTCGTGGACGTCCAAGGCGGCCCCCCGTATCCGGCCTTCCTTCAGGGCCTGAGCCAAAGCTTTCTCATCCACCAGACCCCCCCGTGCCGAGTTGACCAAGAAAGCCCCTTGACGCATCTGCAAACACACACAGCAGAAACACTCACAATAACTCCAGACATCAACACGTGTGGCTGTGAGATTGCAGAAGGGCTGTCATCCTCTAAACGCTGCGTGGGAAGACACACACAGCGCCAGACAAACACTTACAATAAAAGAACGGCAAGAGTACAAAAGGCTTTTCAAAGACAGTTGACATTTAAATGTCAACTAGACTTTCATCTTCACAGAGGCTCTTTATTCAGGAAGCGAGCATGTAAGTGATTTTTTAAAAGCAGCTTTAAAATCTTACATATTTATAAGACTACTGAATTTAACTCAAATAGCAGTCAAATTCAAGATATGATAAGACTTCTTTATCTCCATATAGGAAATGCAGGTGTTACAGCAGCACTAAGAAAGTACAGATAAATACAGAAGTAGAAATTAAAAACAAGTTTAAAAGAAACATGAGGTGTATAAAACTAGTTTAAGAGGACTAAGAGTAGAACATATACAACAAGTATACATGAATTAGGAATTAGAGACAGTGACAGCACAGCAGTAAGTCTCAGTAGTATATACTGTATGTTAACATTTCCATTTGTGTCCTCCAGGTGGCAGCAGTGCTTCAGACTCAGAGACGAAGAGGATAACTCGAGAGGGTTTCTTGTGTTTATCATGTGAGATGAGCTGATCCTTAAAGCCTATAAACTATTACACTGGGGGGTTAAAGTGCATGCTGTGGTTAGCTTAGCTGCTGATTCACCACTTGGCTGCTCCATAGCATTCCTCAGCTCGTCACTGACTGCATTGTAGGCAACTCACAATAGATGGGGGGTGCTGCATAAACATATCATGGACTCTGAAAACAAACTATGTCAGATTGCATTGCGGGGAAAATGTAAACTCTTATGCCATCTAACTGCTGAGGTAATCTTATGTTTCCTGGTTTTTAATATAAGGAATGTCAGATTACTGTATGTCAAAATGATTATAATAATTTTCACTAAAAGAAAAAGGATATGATTCATATTTTATTCAATGTGACAGTCGTTATACTTGGCTGGTTTAACACACACACACACACACACACACACACACACACACACACACACACACACACACACAAACACACAACACACACACACACACAAACACACACACACACACACACACACACAACACACACCCCCACACACACACACACACACACACACACACACACACACACACACACACACACCACACACACACACACACACACACACACACACACACACACACACACACACACACACACACACACACACACACACACACACACACACACACACACACACACTGGCATGTGTGTGTCACGCTGACCTGAGAGTTATGAAACTGTGAGGAAGAACAGACTGATTACAGTGAATCTTCCCACTACATCGCAGACAATGACGCTCCACCATCCACCCCCGTATGTACACCCCTCTCATTCTGGATCCACAGAGGTTTTCTGTGTCTCTTTGTTTCTCTCAGTATCTTACCACTCATTAAAAGGTTGTTTAAACAGCCTATAATTGGACAGAGGAGCGCTGGCAGCCGGGGAATGTTAGTGGCAGGCCAAGTCTTCTGCAAGTCCGCTGGGTTAAAGCCGTGCTACCGATCCCCGGGAATCATTAGCCGAGTGAGGAGAATGTGCAGCTTGCTATGGAGGGGAATGAGAAGAGCTTCTGCCATTTGAGGTTTATATGGTTTTAATAAGTTGCAGGTTCTGTCAGTTTCTTAGACGATGTTCAGTTTCTGTAGGTACCAAATGCTACTTAGTCTGAGTTTATTATTATTTGTTTACGTCACTTTTATTTGTTTGTTGAGCACTTCCGGTAATTGTCACATGAGTGTGGTTTGTGTGGGTCCCCTGTTTCATGTCGAGTGCAGATGACAGAGGGTGAGCTTGTGCTGTCATTTTTTCTGTTGACCGTTTTTGTCCCTATAGTTACTGTGTTTTGATTTTGTTTATTAAATATCGTCAAACTATCTTACTTCAGTATGGACTTTCTCATTGAAAACGCGTCGCAGCTTACAGCCAAGCTTACTGGACTGTAAATTGAGCCGCCACAGTTTCCTTTCTTCCGTCACTTCATGTCAGAGAGATATACAATTATCTTTTTTCTGCTTGTTCAGCACCCTTACCTGTTTGATGGTGAAGTCGTTGATGAGGTGGTGGTTGTGTTCGTTCAGGTTGCAGTGCAGGGACACGCAGTCGCTCTGGTAGAGCAGGTCCTGCAGCGTGTAGACCCGCTGAACGCCCAGCGAGCGCTCCAGCCCGTCCTGGATGTACGGGTCGTAGAAGATCACGTTGAAGCCGAACGCCTTCGCCCGGATCGCCACCGCCTGGCCCGAGCGACCTGATGGAGTCACCAGAAGGAAAGGAAGCACGGATTCAGAGATAATTCAGATGTTCTAAACATTTTAATACTAATTATTTTAGATTGATTAGATCAGAGTCCTGGACTGGCTTCAATATCCTACAAAAAAGTAGTGTATAGGGTGAATTCACAGTACAGTAATGGCCATGGCAGAAAATGTATCTAATGTGGTGGAGGGGGGGGGGAAAGCAGAACAAAACACATCTGTTTAAAAAATCTAAATCATTTGATTATTTGATCATAATAATAATCGGCTGCTGAAGCTTATTCTATTATGAAAGCCTGGAACTGCAGAATTATTTCAGTATTAATGAATCCCTAAACAGAATTATTTATTGAGATATTTGACAGATCGAAACAAATCGGGTTTTTTTATAATAAAAAAAAATTTGCGAGTAAAGATGCCAAGTACTCAGTAGTTTAAAACATTCATCATCAGAAACACATTTATATTTTTCTATACTTGGTTTATGACGAAATAAATACACATAATGCTAACACCATTTCTCTGTGTTTTGTGTTAAATGCTTATTAGCAAATGTTAGCATCCTGACCCACTACGCTAATTGGGTTTTACCACGTTAAACATGAGTCTGTACCTGCTAAACATGACGTCAGCCTTGTAGTTAAGTCTTGCTTCACAAAGTTAGAAATTCAAATTCACTTTTTATGGCATTTAACAGACTAAAAGCTATGAAAATTACATAACATTAGTCTGTATTAAAAACAACATTTATGTGCAGCACTATTGAAAAAAACAAGTACACTGAGTAAACAATCTGACAACTTAAGAACAACAAATTCATATTTCACCTCGCAATGTGATTAAGCCAGTTAAATTAAGATACATTTAAAAATTGTTTAAAATCTAAAAAGAAGCTCACCAAATCCGATGAGGCCGAGCGTCTCTCCTCTGATCCTCGCCGCCCCCGACGCCACCTCCCTGATCTGCTCCACGCTCTGGACCCGCGTGCCCTCCCGGAGAGCCTGGTACAGCCAGGTGTTCCGCCGGTACAGGTTGAGGATGTGACAAAGTGTTGAGTCTGCTGTCTCTTCTACCGCCGCTGAGGGGATGTTACACACCGCAATGCCTGGAAAAGAGAAGCAATGAAGATAAAGGGATGAAACATAGGTACTTCAAATGACTAGTAACTTAACTACTCTACAGATTTAATAGTTGATTCTAAGTACAGAAGCTGTTTTCAAGAGGGCATAATCTAGTCGTTTTTTAGTTCAGAAAGTCATTGACAGGAAAATTATTTCTTTATGACCCTCTACAAAATAAAAATGCACTGTGTATGAAACTGAAGAGGATAATTACAATAGCTAATTATGGCCATGAAAAGAACATTTCTTAAAACATGCACGTCAGCGCACAAAGATGAATTAGCACAAACGACGATAATTAGGACATCACACTAAATCCTGCTCTCATACAAACATATGCCGGAGGGGCCAAATGGGAATCAGAGTGAGAGTTTCATATCAGTTGGAGCATCTGCTCTGCATTTACAAACAGCGCCATTACATATTCTGTTTACAGTATGCAATCATTCCTGTTACATATGTTATTTATGTTAAGTCAATAGCAAGCGGAGTTTGCTTTGGCCCCCATCCAAAAGTGCACTGTTCTTATCCATAATGCATCATTTTTGTTAATTTATTCTTTTTTTATTATCATGCAGGAGTGAATGAATAAGCCATATTGGCAGATATGACCCCAACTACTTCAATATTCTCAGTATAGGATTACTTCTGAAAAACCCTTAGTTTTAAACATTTCTCAACAACTTTTGTCATCCCTCAGTCTAAAAATGGTATTGTTATATTATTCCAGGTGTTGATAGTTGTGCTACCTCCGTTTCACAGGGAAAGAAAAACCTTGAAATAGTCAAATAAAAGGTTAAAAAGCACCGAACAGCAAGTCTTCAAATCAAGCACATTACATTTACTAAATGATCTACATTATAGGACTATTCCGATTTAAAAAAAAATATTATTTGGAGTCCATCAACACCTGTCATTTGTTAAATATCGTTCTTTCAAAAAAAAACTTGTTCCGTTACATTTCCAATAGAGGGAAAATTGGTAGAATTATGTTAAGAGATGACTATCCCTTTTTTTGTAATACTAAGAAACTTTCACCGCGGGAAAAACGAACAAAAAAATACCCTGAAATGTTTTATGTCATATTGTCCTACAGTTACATTGTTCCTTATTCTCAGTATTTTCTTCACCTTAAAATATAATACACTGTAGTTTGCTATACACACTCATTGTCCGAGGTGTTTTTATTTACTTAGCTTTTAAGGTTATTTGTATAGTTACGTTTACATTTGGTGTAATACTTGTCTTTAGCATCCTTTTTTAATGCTAAATAGTTTCTTAAAAATACTTATTTTTTTATTATCATTATATATATTTATTCTTTTTTTCTACCTACTTATTTTTTTCAGATTGTTTATGTTCGCACCAGCAGATACCAGAGCAAATTCCAATAGACTTGATTCTGATTGTGAGAACGTCACAAAATGATTTTAAAAGACATTTTGAAAAAAAAGTCAATTCTGAGAAAAAATGCATATTTAGAAGAAAACAATTCAAATTTGAGATGCATTGTGGGACATGTAGTTTATGGGCAACGTGCTTCTGTAAATCGCCATGTAACCGTATTACAAACATATTATATTATTTGCAAGCTCTTGTGGGGCCACATGAAATGAAGTCGCGGGCCGGATTTGGCCCCCGGGCCTTGAGTTTGACACCCCTGCTCTACATCTATCCTCCTGCTCTGTGTCTGCTTGCCCCTCAGTCTCACCCAGGTCCCCGGCAGCCTTGATGTCGATGTTGTCGTAGCCGCTGCCGATGCGGATGATGATGCGCAGCGACTTGAACTTCTCCAGGTCCTCTCTGGTCAGGGTGATGGTGTGGTACATCATGGCCCCCACGGCCTCATTCAGCACCTGAGGGACATCCTCATCATCACTGTCTCATTACATCATCAACAATCATTAACAGCCTTTAGGAGTCAATCTGCATTCACATTATGATCAGTCATTATTTAATCAGTATCATCCCGATATTCAAATTCCTGCAACATTATGTATGAATTGAATCGGAGAGCATTCACCACCTCACATTTTCCTGCAGCTTTACATCCCCTTTTTCTTCATCTAAATGCAAATTGATTGTTTATGTGAGCCCTGAAATATGAGTGCCTGTCTGTGTGTTTATAATGAGTGCTTTCGCCAAAGCTGCCTTTTGTCACAATCCATTCATTCAGACTGTAGACAAACACAGCTGAAGTAGATGCAGGCAGGACCATAAAGTAGACGGACAGCTGCTGAGGAACCCGGAGAGAATCAGAAAGTAGCTGCCGCCGCACGCCACGGCCGCTAAATCACACGTTAGAATTCACAACCCGCTCACTGAATGAACCTAACCGAGCCAGATTAGCATAGCCTTGAATTACCATGCAACATTTGTATTGGAGCTTGTTGTAGTGAGAGCCAGATGCTAAATTCAAGGTTAAAGCTCTCTCCATGCATTTATCTCATTACTTTAGAGAAGCAGGCCCAGCAGCAGGCTTGGCTGGAGACGATGCTGGAAAATTCACTAAAAATCACATGAACACAAGCGGAGAGTTTACATGAAGTGGAAAAAGAGAGAAAATGGGTTTTGTTTTGTGTGATAATTAGTTGAATAACTCATCTGGCATGCCACAGTGCATCTTTACATTGTTTTTCACAAGGCTATTACCTACAGCAAGGGATCATGAATAATGCAAAGCACATAAGGTCTGTGAGTATGGCCTCACAGTACACTTATTCTACACCAGCGCAATGGAATATTTTGAAAGCTTTAACAAAATACTTGAACATGGGGATTGATTTGTGGATTCAGAGGTAGTGACATAGTGTGAAGGTATACAAATAGCTATAAATTAGGTCGGTTCATGTGTGTTGGTATTATTTAGCTTTGAAGAGCGCCAGGCTAGCTGTTACCCCATGTTTTCAGTCATTATGCTAAGTTAATCAATAGCCGGCTTCACAAAATATTTAAATTTACCATAAAAGTTATGCCTAAAAGCTTCAACAAAGACAAACTATTTTTCACATTATTAGCTTTTTTTATTATTATCACACATCTATGATCTCCTTCCACCTAATATGGTTCTTAAAAGCCTTAGCTATTGAGGACAGATTGGGGGTAACCTGCTTTGGGTGGAGGGAATCACAGAAAGTCCAGAAACATCATTTTATAGATGTATATCTTTCTTATTGTTCATATATGTAAGAGTTATTCAAAACACAGCACAATAAGGACACATAAAACACAACCCCTCTAATTCTCTCTCTTTGTGATTCAATCTCTCCAGTCCATCATACACTTTCAAATAGCAAATAAAGCCCAAGGGTGTCAGAAAAACTGCCATTTATGTATCACAAAATGTTCCTTACTCTAGATTGATCGTGTGATTTGTGCATGAGTGAGATACCCATCATTTTCACAATTACATCTTAAAACATTGGTTGAGCTTTTTTGAGCAATTTAACTTAACAGCTGCACTTGAGAAGAGTGGTTTCTGATACAACGACACTTTAAAAACAACACACTTTGTTTCTATCCTACTTCAATTTTCTGAGTCTTTTCCAAGGACAAAACTGGATTAGTTCATAGACCAAAAGCTCTTGTAATACATTTCCTTTAAGGTGTACTCAACCGGGGCCACAACTCTCTTTCAGCTGAACTCTGGCTTACAGTTGTGCACTTTAGGCTCACAAGTAAATTGTTAAATTCTCCTCTGAATCGTTGAGTGACAGATTCCTTAATCACTGCATCTGCTCACTTCCAGGCAGTGCATGCAAAAAGACAGCAGTGTGCTTGGGTCTGTTTATATACCCATCATGTGTGAGCATTACTTCACCACTAAAACTTGCAGTGAGGTTGTTGGCAAGTCTGTGTGTCTGTGTGTGCGTGTGCGTGTGCGTGTGCGTGTGCGTGTGCGTGTGCGTGTGCGTGTGTGTGTGTGTGTGTGGTGCCCCATCTGTACCCTCTGCTGTGCAGTTATAGTTGTGGGAACGCTGCCAACATCTCTTCTCCCAGATGGGTACTCAGTATTTGTAATGTATTCACCACAAGAGCATCTTACTGAACAGAGATTGCCGTGTGTGTGTGTGTGTGGTGTGTGTGTGTGTGTGTGTGGTGTGTGTGTGTGTGTGTGTGGTGTGTGTGTGTGTGTGGTGTGTGGTGTGTGTGTGTGTGTGTGTGTGTGTGTGTGTGTGTGTGTGTGTGCAAGGAAGAACTAAAGTGTTATAAGCAGAAAATTACAATATTAACTTTGCATTTGACATATAAATGATTATATTGGCACAAAAGTTAATCTGACTACTTTTACATTGCATATCAAATTCACCAAATATTTGGAGAATGTGCTGTAAGGAATCATTTTCACTAAATGAATACATCTTGAAGTGTTACCCTTCCTATTCTCTTTATATGTGTAACAGACCCTGCGGCTTTGATTGTAAAATTGCTCCTGACTGGGTTCAGTGTATCGGCAGTAAAATAAGACAAATGTTTCACCCACTCTGGCTCAGAACAATCATGCTGCCTTACTATTACCAGCCTCCTCCTCCTTATTTAACAAAGCAGCACTTCAGCACCCAGTGGGATTACAGTCAGTGATGAAACCATTAGAATTGAACTGGGAGAGTGGAACAAGCCAGTGGGCTGAAATATTATTAAAGCATCACAGAGGAGGAGACGCAGAAGGAGAAACAAGACGACTCTCCTGCACTCAACTGAGGACAAATTATTCCAGAGTCACAGTCAAAGTTCATATTATGTCCATATCAGTGTGTGTGTGTGTGTGTGTGTGTGTGTGTGTGTGTGTGTGTGTGTGTGTGTGTGTGTGTGTGTGTGTGTCTGCTCCCAGCACACACTGCCTCTACAACATTTGTTTTGTAAAGCACTTTGAATTGTCGCGTACAGAAAAGTGCTATATAAATAAACTTGCCTTGCCTTGCCTTACTACCACAGTACAACTGTTACTGCAGAGATGAACACAGACTGATGGTGTTGCTAAAGAGTAATACATTACATAGTCTGACATTTTCCAAACATATACTGCTTATTAAAACGTACAAACACTGCTTTACATCCTGTCTGCACATCTTCTTTGTTTGATAAATGAAAAGAAGAGTGGTAAAGCAAGAGCACACATTGGCTACAAATAACCTGTGTTGAGGGAAAGTGAGCTCTGTGTGAGGGACAGCAAAAGGAAGTGTTGCATGTAACTCAAACTGAAAACTTCGCTTAAATCTTTCTTTTTTATATATTCAAATTGTATTCAAGTTTCTCTATGCTTTAAAACACATTTAACATTAGAATTTAATACAGTTTGTGTTTATTTTATTTCTTATTCCATTCTATGCATTTTCTAAATTGTATTTCTTTAACAAATCATTGAGTGAATTATTTCAGACATGTGCAATTATATATTTTATTTTACCCCCTTCTCTATTCAGTAGTGGAGAGGATTTTAAATATATCCACTCTACTCTATACTTGACGTCTTAAAGAAACAGACTGCTTGAAGCCAAGTTAAGTAAACATACAATTAACACAAACTAATTCAAGTTAATTACATGCATAAACAAAGGCTGCTTAAATGAGATTATAAATAAGGAGCATTCGTGGCAAACATTTGAGATTTAGGACTTTGACGAACCATCCCAGAACAGTGGTCTGTTTTTATTAGGGGTTAAAAGGTCAGTGCTACAGTTTGTTTAAATGTTAAGATATAAAAATAAAGGGGTGGAATCCTGTTATTTAAAGAATTGAAGTTGTTTACTTCTCCTAACATACAGGTGAAAAAGGGAGCATTCTGAAAGTTATTATTGTACCTTCTCATGTATCTCCTGTGTGGACTGGGCGTCACAGAAAGCCACGGTGGCCAGGTCTTTGAGGATGGGCATCTCCACGGTGCAGTCGCGCCCGTCCAGCAGCGCCACCAGGGGGCGCGGGTGCATAGGCCCGTTCATAATCTGGGGCCGAATACCTGCAGAGGGGAGGACAGAGAGAAAGGGGGGGGGGGGGGGGGGGGGGGAGTTAATTATTTATAAGTGGCACACACAGTCAGCGAGCCGCAGAAGAAACAGTGAAATGTAGGAAAAGCATCCCGCAGCAGGAAGTGTTAACACAGCCTGGGACTGTGTTTTACCTGTGCGCGCCTGAATCAGTGACACACACACACACACACACACTACTACACACACGCCAAAGTGTGTTAAAACTATCATCGTCTCCCTTACCTGGCAACACTGGGCAATATCACACACACATTCATTCACACACACATACACACACTAGGGATGCTCGATTATGGCAAAAATCATAATCTCGATTATTTGGGTCAATAATTGATATCACGATTATTAAAAACGATTATCCATTTACTTTGAAAACATCAATTTATTGGAGAAAAAAAATGTGAACAGTATGTTTTTAACAGTTGATTACCCTGAACTTTAAGTATAACTCAACTGAAAAAAAATAAAATAAAATTAATAACAAAAAAAAAAAAGATTAATAATAAGAATAAAAAAATAATCGTTATATTTCGATTACGTTGTTTTCGTATCCTTGCAAGCCATAATCGTAATTGCGATTACAATACGATTAATTGAGCAGCCCTAACACACACACAACGCTGGTGATATGAATACACCCCTCTCTGGCTGTTATCCACTCTGTTACCAGGCAACAGGTCCTTTCACCCCATGAGGTCATCACCTCCATTATCCTATCATCGTTCAGGGGCCGGCAGTGTGTGTGTCTCTGCACACTTTACACCATGTACACACTGACGCTGAAGGAAATCATCAGGTATTAAATGGAAAGATTCAAACTTGAGGTCGTCTCGAGGTTTGTCCTTTGAGTATTTGGGTTTCTATCTTTGCCCCCCCCCCCCCCCCTCCCTCCATCGTGATGCCCTTCAGGTAGAAAAGAGGCAAACAAATAACAGCTGGAGGCTAGAACTGTGTCAGTATTGATGAAAGAGTCACTGATGGACTGATGGATTGTCACGATGAGCCAGTAAACTAACTCCATCTAAAATCAATGTTTCCTTTAGGTGTGAGATCGAGGAGAACAGTGAGGACCCAAATTCCACTAAAAAGAGGGAGAAGGAAAAAGAGGAAAGGAGGAAGGAGGGAGGGGGTCCACACACCACCACTCTCCGGCTCCCTGCTGCCTGTTGTCATGGTGATTAGAGGAATTGGGCAGGATTATGAAATATTTTATTTAGTGACATCTGCGCTGCTGGAGAGGACATCCAAGCCTCCTCGCTCTTAGTCTCTCTAACTCCTCCAGTTTTGGGAAGCATTGACGGTGTTTGTGACCTACACAACTACAACATGCTAACATATGTACTTTATGTAGATCAGGTTACTATAGTGATACAAAATACAACAAAGAGATGCATGTAAATGTAGCAGAGTCGCAATTAATCTGTGCTTCAATTCTGCACCGGTAGGCTCGTCTTCTTGTATGCACCGTTAAGGGGAAAGGTTGCATTGACTATGGTTAATGTTTGAAGAAGCTTCCCTTTTCAGCCCTAAAAAATTATGTGCAGAATCGTAGATGAACACAAATATTTCTGCCAAATTAAGCTTTGGCTATTCCCTGAGGTATTTGTATACATGAGATGTTGTGTGTGTTCCTCACTGATTTGTCATGGGGCACGTTTCATTTAAAAATTTGGATTTTAATTTTGATGCCAGGTGTTGGCTTGTCGGTTTAATTTGCCAGGCCACTGTCAATTAAATGTGATCACTCCAAATCCACACAGTACCAACGGAAGATTTTAAGTGACTTAAAAAGATATCCCCAAGTCATTTTTCAAAAGAAATAGTTGCTTATTTTGTCATGAATACTTTTTTTTGCAGAGAAATACTTACATTCAGGAAACTTAGCTTAAGAGTTTCCTGAAATTAAAATAATTAATAATCATAGCATCTTTAAGAATGACATCTCAATTAGGTTTAACAAAAGCTGTTCTGCGATATTTATAAAAAATGTTTTGCCAGTCAATATGACGTAGGTTTAAGCAAAACAGATCTTTTCAGAGAAGGTTCTCAATGCACCTACAAACTTGAATTTACATTGTACCTCTTGCAAGCTGCATCTCTGTGCTGCTATACAATCTGAAAATATCCAGCGCTAGAAGCATGCTGAAAAAACATAGGCTGTAAATTATGTAGAGCTCGATGCTGTAACTCAACACACAGAACATCTGCGCTTTCCCTATCAGAAAGAAACCACGGATTCATTCAAAAGAGAGCTTATAGCATGTCATTAATATCACAGCATTGACAGAAGGACATCCAACCTGCATTTGTATCAGGATTAACTTCTGTAATGATTGCTTTCTGTCTCTATTTGTTTCAAACGGCGGAGGAAGGTGAACCACATTCAGACATCTCGGAGGGGAGAACATTGGGATGAGGGTTTGTATTATAGTTTCTCCTAAACTCCACATCTCAGGTGTGTTGTCTGCTTGCAGGGTTTATAGACACAGATGAGCGATCACTTTTTAAAATGTGGATGGTCCTTTAAAAGGTTATTCAACTGAGTGCACCATGATTGCTTGTCACAGCATTTTTTAACAGAAAAGCTTCTAACTAGAATCAAAAGTCTAAAAGATGCGAGCATTAGGAAGGCAGGACAGGCTGTTATGAAAGAAGCTATTATTCCCACATTGCATTGTGGGAAATGTAGTGTTTCTGCAGCTTCAGCCATTACAAATGAGGATATCTTTGCTGCTGTGTTTTTCAATTTGAAAATTGCTTTCGAAATCTGTCTCTCGCGAGTTGCACAACCTTTTAAAGTGCAATAACTCCTCACAGCTATCATTGAGCAGTTTAAAGCAGCAGAGTGAATATTATTAAGTCAAATATCTGCTTGCAACTTATTTTAATGAAATTATGCTTTGATAGTTATTACTGACCTTTTCTTCCAGTTACTTTTATTATTATTGCTTTGCTTTTATGTTTCCTGATTACCATTTTTAGTGTTTGGTGTCAATTTCCTACGTAGTATAACTGCCTCCCTGGCCTTTTTTTCAAAATGATGTAGAGATTAAGAGAGAGTGTTTTTATTATATTACACTACATTACAGTCATTAACAATATTATTATTATAGTGCAGCGCCCATAATAAAATCCTAAATGGCAAAAGAGAAGAATGATGAGCAAAGAAGAAACACGCATAAAAAATAAATGGTGGAAGTGACCTCAATCTTTCCGTTCTTAGTATAAGCTGAATGCATGCTTCACTCTCACCCGAGGCACTCATGGTGTGTGTGTGTGTGTGTGTGTGTGTGTGTGTGTGTGTGTGTGTGTGTGTGTGTGTGTGTGTGTGTGTGTGTGTGTGTGTGTGTGTGTGTGTGTGTGTGTGTGTGTGTGTGTGTGTGTGTGTGTGTGTGTGTGTGTGTGTGTGTGTGTGTGTGTGTGTGTAGAGTTGTTGTGTGTTAGCGAGAGGAGACGGGAGAGGTCGGCTTGCCAAACACACCTGTGGGTCTGCAGCTCTCTCTGTGCCCTCTCATCACCATCCTGCAGAGTTCAGTATCACAGCTCAGACCGAGCAACAAATACTTCTATCGTCTAACAGACGCCGCGTTGTGTTCACACATGAAAACACACACTCTTAGATGAAAGGATAGAAAAAGCAGCGAAACTCCCTTCCTTGATACACACACACACAAACAAGAAACCGCTGGTATAAAAAAGAAAAGAAAGCCGCATCACTTGTCGGAAGTATGTCAAACTGCTGTTGATTAATTATTTCCTAGTGGCTAATAGCCTTTCTAGAGCCTAATAAGCCTGAACGTGGCAGTGCATTTAACACATGATGAATCTGTGGATAATTAACGCCTAACAAGGCTGTTAATGAAGCTCTTAATGACTCAGATACCTGGCCAGTGATTACAAAGAGTAAAACAATCCCCTCAGACAGAAAAAAAAAAAATGAAAATGACAGTATGTTTATAATACATGATGACAGGTTCAGACCAAAACAAATCCACAGCTGATGTGTATTCTCAAAGACATAAACACACACTGTTGGAAAGGTGTTGTTGACTGAGGCTCTGTAATGGCCTCTTATCAACATCCCTCCAGGGAATGTCTGTCACATCACAGTTAATGAGTTTTGGGGCTTTAGTCTCTATTCTCACGCTGTCAGAACACTACACTACATTTCCTCTTGCCAAGTCAGGTTGAGGAGGAGCCATCATCATTTTGAGGATAAAAAAAGAAAAGAATCAGCAACAAGGTGGCGGGAAATGTTATTTAGAAATAGGGCTGAGTCTTCGACATATGGGATGACTTTCTTAAGGAAATGTCTGATCGTCCAAAGAGCTATTCTTTTTCTATAATGTGTGTATAAGTGTCTCAATACTCCACTTGTTCTGGCAGCACACAGCTCAGGATGGAGGATGTATTTGTTGTACGTTGCACATGTAACAGCAACTTATTTCTTTTTCTTAAGTGAATGATAGCTTGCCGCTTTATTTCTTAAGTGACTTCTTATTTTTGCCTTTTTTACAATTGTAAATGACACCGCTTTGGGACAAATCAAGGTTGTCTGATTCTGATGGAAAACTAACAAAAGCAACACTTTACGTTGATTTAATGAGAACTGTTTTGAGGTGGGTTTTTTAAAGAATACTTTTAGAGCGCTATTAGCATTGTTTGTTGACTGCTTACACTCTAATAAGACTGTAAGAAATTATTATTCGTCTTGTGCATTTTGTATTTCTGAAATCCCCCCTATCATTCATTTGTTAGTGTGTGAAAACCCTAATGTGTGGTTTGTTATAGAACCAGTTAAGGTTGATGTGTGTTTAAGATTACAGCCATCAGGAGAGCAGCACACATTGCATATCTTGGTTGAAAAGGAACCAACATAAATATTTCTGAAAAATAAACAGAAACAGAGCTGAGCTTTGTGGTGTATCGACACAAATTAATATCACAATATAGCAAGAGTAAACTAAAA